AAATAATTCAAAGCGGCAAACATATCCCACACACAGTGGTGGGATTCAAATAAGTTAACAACCGGTTCTCTGCCCTAATTGGTAGGCGTGGCTGGGTGGTCATGTGACTGGGTGGTCATGGCCAACTCGACATCACTCATGTCGAGGGGGCACTTCGCCTCGCCTGGCCTCTCGTGACCGTGAGGATGCTGCAATGTAACAAGGCTTAACCCAGAGGCAGTTTCGGAAAACATTTAAGCAGGCTAGAAACAACAGACACAGGCACACCAGAACACCTCCTTCCTGCCTTCCTGACAGGATTAACCCCATAAAGTGGGAAAAACAAAAGGCTGTTGGAAGGAGATTTCTTTTAACAGCCAGTTCGCCAAACTGCTCGAAAGTTAACTACCGGTTTGCCCGAACCAATGCAAACCAGCTGAATCCCATCACTGCCTGCACACTTTCCTCCTTCTCTTTTCCCTATAACAACAACCCTGTGAGGTGGGTTGGGCTTGAGAGTGAGTGACTGGTCCAAAATCACCCAGCTAGCTTTCATGGCTGAAGCAAGACTTAAACTTATTCTATCTGAAATTCAATTGTTTAGCTTTTTTCAATGTCAATTATATCTTCTGGCAATTATTACCTTCTCATCAGGTTTAAGATTGGCTCTCTCAGAAGAGGGTTAGGATTAGGATTAGAAACTTGGATATTCTGTAACGTTTGCGGATATAGAGTTTAACATTAGACATATTTCCTTTGCCATCCCATGCCCAAAGAAGTTGTCCCCAATGATAGACAGTGTGATTTAACAGTCTAAGATGCCAAGTTATCTTTGGTACAGTATATATTGATAATCATTTTGAATTATTATCAATAATTATGGAACTGATTTTCAAACATTATACCACAGGGCTATAATTCCAGTTTTTCTGATGGAAGTAGATTAAACCTCGTTTCACCAAAACTTTTTTTTTAAAAACTTTACAATATTTTTTTTTGTGTGTGTATGTGCTTTGATTTAGTCTTGAGTCATGGTGAGTACATGGACAAACCCCTGTACTCAAATGTGTTCTTAGCAACATTTTCAAATGGTTTATTTAGGATTGAGAGAGTGACTAGCTCATAGTCATCCAGCTGGCTTCTCTGCCTAAGCCAGGCCTATTAAATATTCAATGGGAAACCCAGAGTACTGTATAAGCATTGATACCTGATATAGCCACTCATTCCCTTAGATCAACAGGTCATTCATTTGCACGAGCAATCTGACACATTCCCAATAAAGACGTCCTGTCAATCAAGGTGCAACAAGATTTTATCATTGAATGTGTTCAATTCTGGAGCTTGTGACTTTTCTGAACATATCCAGTGGAATCATTACCAACTCCTCATATCTAGATCTAAGAGTAGTTTAGATGAAACTATCCTTTCCTGCTGTTATTAATATACATTTTCCAACATCCCAAAATTCTTTATCCATTGTCTGTGTAAATGGGAGAATTGGAAGATTTTAGCAGCTTCTAGAGTAGGGGTGTCAAACTCGATTTCGTTGAGGGCTGCATCAGGGTTGTGTTTGACCTCAGGGGGGTTGGTGGGTGTGGCCAGCTCACTCATGTCGGAGGTGGATGAGGTGGCCCAAGCACTCTGCCAGCGAAAACGGACCTCGGGAGTGGTATGTTTTCGCTGGCAGAGGGTTGCAGGAAGCTGTCGCAGCTGAAAACGGAGCTTCGGAGGGACATACACAGCCCTCCCAAGCTCCATTTTTGCTGGCAGAGAGTTGCAGAAGGCCGTCGCAGCCAAAAACGGAGCTCGGGAGGGTTGCACAGGGCCCTTCTGTGCTCTGTTTTTGCTGGCAGAGGCACTGCAGACCAGTCCTTCGCTATTTCCAGGGAGGCACCCTGTGGGCTAGTTCTGGCCCGTGGGTCTTGAGTTCACACCCCTGATCTAGAGGAAGAAAGATCTGAATTTTATGGACTATAACACACTCCTATAACACACTCGGACTATAAGATGCACTTAGCTTTTGGGGAGGAAAACAAGGAAAAAATCCCCACAGCCTGGAACAGCTGATAGGAGGCTGAAGGGTGGGAGCCAGCAGGTGGGTGTGGCTTCGGTAACATTTGCTGTATAAGAAGCACAGACATTTCCACCCACTTTTTTTGGGGTGGGGGAGTGAATCTTATACACTGAAAAATATAGTAATTTACAACCTTTCACACTGTGACACTAATATTCATGTTTAAAACTGCTACCTTAATTACAAACAGTTAAAAATGTGTGTGTCTCTGTGTGTGTATGGTTGTGTATTCTTACTGCCAACAAACTAGTGGTTAAGACAGATCTTTACATGTGCTTCATTGACTACATAAAACTTTTGACTGTGTTGACCATGTCAAGCTCTGGAACTGCCTTAAAGAACTGGGAATATAACCACACCACATCCAGCTCATTCAGTCATAGTACTCTGGTCAGGCAGTGATTGTAAGAATGGAATATGGAGAAACAAAAAGATTCAGAATTTAAAAAGGCACTCGGAAAGGTTGCATACTGTCACTTATACTATTTATTAATTCAATTTATTAATTCAATTTACATGCCGCCTTTCTCTGGAGACTCAGGGCGGCTATTAAACTATTAAACATGTACACATAAATAGGGAGAAATACACATTTGGAGGAATCTACCATTTGGGTTAAAATCGGTGCTAGGAATATCAACAATTCCAGATATGGAGATGATACAACATTGTTCGTGGAAAGCTAGGAGGATCTGGAGTGACTAATTCTGAGAATCAAAGATGAAAGTGAAAAATTTAGACTGCATATTAATATCAAAAAAAAAAAAAACCCAAAGAAATTATAACTCCACACAGGTCAAAATGTAGATCAAGTGAAGATCGACAATGAGACCATTTAAATAATAAATATATTAATCTTTCTAAACTTTAAAATTGACCAAAGTGATAATTGCAGCTCTAAGATAAGAAGTGTATAACACTTGGAAGAACTGTCTGGCATGAATAACATCTGGAAGAGTAAAGACATCAACCTCACAAGGAAATGCAGATTAGTTAATGCAATAATTTTTCCATTTGCTACTTATGCCTGCAAAATGTAGACTCTGACAAAGGCAGATAGGAGAAGGGTGGATGTCTTTGAACTGTGGTACTACAGACAACTATTACACATTCCAAGAACCTCACCAAAAATATCACTTGAAACCAAGATCACAAAACAGAGGCTATCATACTTTGGTCATGTCATGAGAGCTGACTCATTTCAAAAGTCAATCATGCTGGGAGTGATCAGGGGAAAAAGGAGAAGGGGCCGGCCCAGTACCCGTTGGCTGGACACCATAAAGAATGACAGAATGAGCATGGCAAAACTGAAGGAGGCGGTGCAAGGAGCATGGAGAGTGCTGATCCATAAAGCGGCCAAGGGTTGAACACTACTGAATTGTTGATGATGACGATGATGGGATGTACTTGCCTAATCAGACTGGAGCACAATTTGGAGGTCTTCTTTGGAGGTCTGTCAATTTGGACAGCTTCTGCCTTTGCACAGGTTCATTTTGTGAACCAATTGTGCCCATTCTTCATGGTGATTTATGCCTTACTCACTTCCTGCTTGGATTACTGTAGGTCTAGCATGGAGGGCATGCTCTGAGACCCCACTATTAAACAATGCCATTTTGTTATACCCTGGATATGTGCTTTCTCGGCGGCTGCTCTGTGGAATAGCATTTCCCCCACCCTCACCCCCAAGAATTGGATGGGCCTGCCCATTAATCTGTCCTAAGGCTCTGAAGTCCTGATTGTTATTCCAGGCCAGTATTTTCAACTTTGGCAATTTTAAAATTCCTGGGACTTCAATTCCCTAGGACTGAGAAACTCTGGAAGTCCACACATCTTCAAGTTACCAAGGTTGAGAAATAATATTCCGGGCTTTTGGGCCAGGCAGTTAGGTGAGCTCCTTAGTGTTAGTGATGTGATTTTCTGTTGGCTATTGATGTGTTTTGGGTTATTGATTAATCATGTGGTTGTTATCTTAAACTGCTGTGATGGTTTTAATCTTATGAGATGGTGGCTCTACAGTAATCATTTAAATAAACAAACATATTGAATCTGAATCACACCTCTCTCTCCTAGTGGCCTAAGTAAAACTGGCCCAATTTAATCTGAGTCTTCCCATTTAGTTCTGGATGCCCTATTTAGTTCTGGATGTCTTCCTGGACTCAAGTTTAATTAATAAAAAACAGGATATACTGTAACAGGGTATCTTCTATCAGACATTTTCCCCTCAAGAAAGTTCCTGAGTTTGTACAGAGTACTCTTCGACATCCACACCCCAAGGAGAGAAGCAACTGAAATTAAGGAGAAACTTCCTAACAGTGAGGACAATTAACCAGTGGAACCGATTGCCTTCAGAAGTTGTGGGTGCTTCATCATTGGAGGTTTTTAAGAAGGGACTAGACAGCCACTTGTCTGAAATGGTATAGGGTCTCCTGCTTGAGCAGGGGGCTCGACTAGAAGACCTCCAAGGTCCCCTCCAGCTCTCTTCTGATTGATTGAGCATTTCTCTCAATCGGGGCGCAAAAACTTATCGAAACCCTCCTCCCTCTTCGGCAGCTTGGGTATTTCCGGCTACCATTCCTCTATTTCCGAAATAAAGAAGCAAACCTCCCCGGTGAATTTTTAATATTCCAATCTCCCCCAGCATGTTATTTTCATGAGTTTTTATATATATATATATATAGTATATACAGTACACATAAGATGGAGACGCAATTTACTTTTGATCAATATGGTTTTTCCGGATCACTTCGGCTCTTTCCGTCACGATAAAGCCGAGACGGGACGACGCTTTGGTGACTTCAATGAAGTGAGCAGTCCAAGTCCGACCCGCTTTCGCTTTCTTTCGGCACTTTCCGTCAAGAACGAAGACGCCTGGCCTTCAAGTTCGTACGCGTCCTTTCCGTCTCCGCTCGGGAAGGAGCAGCGGAAGAGGTCTCGCCTTCGGATCTTTTCGTCACTTTCCGTCGACTGTTCGGCAACACTCGGGTCCTGACGGACTGGGGCCTTCCTTTCCTTTTCCTTACCTCCTTCACGGCCCGGTTAACGGTCGCTGGCAGTTTAAATGAGACGGGATCCGGGTCGTTGTCGCGCCACACCCTGAGGCGGCGTCTGAGTCTGTCAGGGAAAAGCCGGAGGAGGGAGGAGAGAGAAAAGAGAGAAGGGGGCGCCCTTCCCCCCCCCCACTTCTCTCATCCGGGTCCTGTTCCTGAGTGGGGAGCCGGGGCAGGATGACGGTGCTGCAGGAACCCGTCCAGGTACGGACACCGGTGGCGAAAGGCCTGCATTGGGGAGGGGAGAATCGAAAGCAGGAGGAAAAGGAAGGGAGCCTCCGGAGAAAGAAGGGTTCCTGCTCCTCTTCTTTTCCTCCTGATAAGACAGGGCTCCTTTACCAAACTCCCTTTGCTCCTTACAGGGAATGGGGGTGGGGGTGGGGGGGTGGGGGATGGAGGATGGCGGTGCAAGAGAGAATCTTCTGTAATCTCACTTTCTTAGTTTACAGCATGTTATTTTGCTTTTGGGAATGCCGCCTTCGCACTTGGACTCTCCCTGCCCCAGTAAATCAGTTCAGTTCTCTTCTCTGGAAGGAACGGTGTGTCTTTTCTTTAAAAATCGCTTTGTGCATTTCGTGTTTTTAATTCTCCCTCCACCCCACCCCCACCTCCCCAACCCGCTTTCCTGGACTAACTTAAGCACATTCTCTCAACTCTCAAAGACCTCTTGGACCCCCAAGGATTACACTTTGCTTTTCGTCCTACCTGTAGTGTAAGCGTCTTCCCTACGGTATGAACCCTCTCTCAGCTTCCTAAATCCCTGTCCCATCTCTCCCATTGCAAGCTTCCTTTTTATTACTGCCTTAAACACACACATATTATACAAGCACCCAAACCAAATAGTCACTTAAATTAATATCCGGATCTTCTACCGGTTTCAATCCAGGCCATGGTACTAAATAAATCCATGTCTGTTTAGCAGCATTGGATATTCCATAATCATCACAATTCCTTTCAGCTTTTCCTTTTCCGTGAAGGATTTACATTTGCATTGCCTGTTTATAGATGATCTGATTGTGCCTTGTATCGTCCATTCTGCCACTTCAAGACATTATATGCTATCTGATTTTTCTCTTAATTGCTAAGAAGGTCCTCTACCACTATAGTCCTCCTGATTTCCCATTATATTTGTGGCTGCAGCTGAAGAAGCCCCATATTTTCAGTTTCTGCCTGGTTGTAGAAAGATTGGCTACGTTGGATCAGATCTAGAAACCGATATTCTTCAAATGCCACCCCTGCATTGAACTGAAGAGTTTTGCAAAATTTACAAGTGTCATAAAATGTTTTTAAGGGCCTACCACAGTGATGGCTAAGCTTTTTCCCATCGCATGCCAAAAGCGTGGGGAGAGGGGGGTCACGCACACATGCCCATACCCATAATTCTATGCACCCGCTTTTGTGACCCCTCTTGCACTCCCCCTGCTTTTGGCACACTGTGGGCCCGGTAGGCCCATTTTTTGCTCTCCCCAAGCTCCAGAGCCTCTCTAGGAGCCTGGGGAGGGCAAAAACAGCCATCCCCATTCCCCTGGAGGCTGGAAACGGCTCATTTGCTGACTTCTGGTGGAACTGGAAAACCCGTTTTTTACTCTCCCCAGGCTTCAGAGCCTGTCTAGGAGCCTGGGGAGGGTGAAAATGCCTCCCCCGGAGGCCCTCCGGAGGCGGAAACAGCCCGTTTGCCAACTTCCGGTGGGAAGAGAGGCTCTGGAGCCTGGGGAGAGCAAAAAACGGGCCTTCCTCACCTCCCCAGGCCCTCCGGTGGCAGGAAACAGCTTGTTTCCCTACTTCCAGTGAAAATTATATGCATGCCGGAACTGAGCTCGTGTGCCCATTGATATGGCTCCATGTGCCACCTGTGGCATGCGTGCCATAGGTTCGCCATCTAGGGCCTAGCAGATCAGACAATTGCAATATCCCAGCATTTGTTATTGTTGCTTTCTATTTCTTTAGTATTATAATGCAGTTTTCTGTGTTCTTCACCCAATTCCTTTCAAACCATATTTTTATTTTCAGCCTCCTAAATATTCTCAACTTGTTTTACAATATCATGGATTTGTGCTCTACAAATTGCTATTTATTTTCTCCACTGTCCTTACTGGTTGTTCAACAATTTTCATTTGTTTAGAGTTCATTGTTATATTTTTTTCAAAGGTAAGCTTAAAGCTTCTTAAAAATTGAAAACAAGAAAATCTGTTGATGTGTAACGCCAGGGCCAGCAAGTCAAAACATAACATTCTGTTGAGGAGTTCTTTTTTTCCCCATGGAGAATTGTAGACACCATCTAAAAGTATCAGTATTCAGTCATTTGGTGCCCACCTCATCTTTTATCCTGGTTGGCAACTGGAATAAATAATGACTTAAGCAATGAACACAAATTTCCAGGTGTCCATTTTCAGATCATAGAATCAGATGATTCTCTGATCTCTAGGAAATTAAGGACAACGAAACAAGCGAGAAGGCAACTATAATGACAATGGAGAAAAACCTGAGATGCATCTGACTGAACCTAAGCAACATGTGCTTGAAATAATTGTAATATTTATTCTATGGTGCAAATAATGGTTAAGAAATTTTACTTTTCCATTACTGTTTCCAATATGTGTCTATATTAATGTATTGCAGGAAAAAACAGCTAACAGATTGTGGAATCCTTTAAAACTAACCAATTTATTTTTACATTGACTTTTTTTTAATGTCATGTTTCTTTCAAAATTGTTAAATTTTCACTGAATTTACTTCTAATTTTGAGGTTCTTAAAACTTTTGTATGATTAGCTTTATAGCTTCTAGCTAGTTTATAAGACACTTAGAAATAAACTGCTTGCATTAATACTAATTTAGAATTCACCTTAGAAGAACCAATTAATACACTTGGCAATTGTTCCATTTTATGGATTCCACTGAGGTAGGAAAAGCAAGAAGTAGTAGATGTTTTTTCAAAATATTTCCAGTCTCCATGTTTTCCTTATTGGAATTTTATAGCAAATTGTAAATACATGACTGTATTTATTTAGCATACATATGCTAAATATGTATGGCATATTATATATTGACTAGCAATATATATGAACATTTCATATATCAATGACTATATTATTTGACAGTCATACATAAATTACTGGTTAAGGGACCTAGGTATCATGGATATTGAAAAAGTAGTAAAACTCTTTTGATCAGAACAAAGTTGAAAATACATTTGCTATTTGTCCCAACACCAGGAATATTCAGTAAGATCAATTTGTCAGCCAAATAATACGAGTAGTCCTCGATTTATAATCATTCGATTAATTTTGATTAATTACGACAGCCCTGAAAGAAGTGACATATGAGTAGTTCTTATACTTATGACCATTGCCTCATCCATATAGTCAAGTTATCATACTTTGGGTGCTTAGCAACAGGAATGTATTTGCAATGGCTGCAGTTTCCTAGAGTTTTAGGATTGCCACTTGCAGTTTCTGACAAGGAAAATCAATTGGGGAAGCCCGATACACTTAACAACCTCATGAATTACTTAACAAATAGTTTTACTCTTAACAACCATGGCAAAAAAGTTGTAAAATGGTGTATGATTCACTTAATAATTGCCTTGCTTAGCAATGGAAATTATGGGCTCAGTTTTGGTTGTAAGTCAAAGACTACCTGTATTCTATTTTTTTGGTTGTTGTTTTACAATTATAAGCATTTTTCTTATTGTGATTTCAGGAGCACTATACTTAAAATGTATGGCTTTCTTTAATATTCTTGTTGGTATAATATATTTGTTTGTTTGTTTTTATCCTACCTTTATTATTTTTATAAATAAATCAAGGTGGCAAATATATCCAATACACCATCCTCCTCCTAATTTCCCCACAATAACAACCCTGTGAGGTAGGTTGGGCTGAGGGGGAGATTGTAATGTATATTATCTCTCTTGAAATAAGAAGATCACATCCTAACACTATATTTCCCTTAGATATTTAGATGGGTTGGTAATATGTATATTTCTGTATCAAACTTAAGTGTTTTTTCAATAGTTGTGCATTTAAATTATATTTGGAGATCCAGTACAGAAAGATTTGATGAACTTTGCAATAGAATAGGACTAGATTTTCTTGTCTATCAGTAAATCAGATTTCCTCTATTAGTCCTTTATCTGTTTTTTTCAAACTCAATAATTATTTTCAGTGGTAATGTCTATAGGCTAAAATTTCAAGATACTGTTTCAAACTCTTTAGATTTTAGACAAAATATTAGTAAAATTGTTTTTGAATAGGAACCAAAAAGGAAGAAGGCAGTGGCAAACTATTTCCATACTCCTGTCACAAAAACTGTGTAGGCGTGTGCTTGTAGCTACTGGGAGTTGGGCACAACTACTGTCTTTACTTATTGATGCTTGTAGCAAAGAGTTTTAGTGCTTTGTTACATGAGAATGTAATTTCCCTGGCTACAGATAATTTCACTTTTTTACCTGGGTTTGTTTTACCCGTTTCTCTTAATAGCTCCAGTTATACCTCTTCTTTCCTCCCTCTTTCCTCTCTGTGATAGATCACATTTGGCAAAAGTGGTGAAGTGGTTTCCTGGGGTGTTTTTTCAAGGTTAGCTTGCAGCCATGGTATTCCCTACAGGACTTGCATCCAAATTCTAACTACATCCAACCTTATTTAGTATGGAGCCCAAGGAGGGTGAGCAGGTGCTATACCTGATAAGATTCAGCAGACAAGCCAAAATAACTGAAATCCATCAGTAGAAACAATTACAAACCAAATTTTTTGTTATTGAGTTCAATTCCAGTCACACTAAATGAATTATTGCTATTTTATTTATCTGGTTACATTAAGAGGAGGAATGAAATGGAAATAAATAAGGTTCAGGGCTCCGTTTTAAAGTGGGCAATATTATTATTAAACTATTTCAAGAATACTATTAATGAATATGGTGTTTATATAAGCTTTCCTCAAACCTTTCCTCTTTATTTTGTGGGAGTAGACTATAAATAATTTGACTTTATCTCTTTGTCCTCAAATCTTAATTAAAATTTCTCTGTTTTGATGGAATGTCCACTGATATTGCAGAAATAGTTATAGTAATCAATTACTGAATTAACAGTTCTTGTGCAATATTTATTTGTTTAACATTTTTCTAACCCATTTACTTCCAGCCAAGTCAGCTCAACATGGGTATTTTCAGGAGCAGCAAGGGATGGCAAATGAGGACAGGTGCCTGATGATGTCATTGCACAAATATCATGTCTTAGTTATTTTGTCATCTGTGTAATGCAAGTGCATAATTGTGGTATTTGCATAATAATGGCATTATGCAAATATCACTTTGGCACCATAATATAATTCTTAAAACCTTCTTTTTTTGTTTTTAACTAGTGTAATTGTATTATTGTTTACATAACTAAAAATATGGTAGTGCTGTACTATTATTTCTCTTTAAGGAAAAAAACAATTTTTATTATCAGAGGGGAAATATACATGAAATTAATAAAGATGAAATACTTTGTGTTTCAGCTTCTCTTATTCTCTATACATTCCACAACTTGGTGAACTTTTGTTTTGCAACTAAAAATTTACACATATTCCAAAAGTGCAGTTTCTTGATTTTTTAAAAATGTACTATTACAGCAAGAATGGACTTACTGAGGCTCATTATGATTATATGTAGTTTAAATCCTATCCCATTTTGTCCATACTAAAGTCAGAAGAAATTAACATGCTGACATGATTAAGGGCTATTAGTATAGTGGAAAAAGTATTGTTCTTTCTTTATGTAGCAGAAAGTTACATAAGGTTTTCTTCTTTATTTTCTCCTCTCAGATAAGGAACCATTTATTATATATAATGTCAATAGATTTTGCTTGATATAAATTAAAATTTGTAAACAGAAAATTAATGGTGTTGTTTATGAGTAAATTTAAGAATTTCTCCTTAAAAAGAGGGAATACCTCTTTTATCTTTAAATATTTATCAGTCCTGGCATCCTTTTTGTGGCCTTCAAAGCCCCTCCCCCTTATCCTCATCCCAGTTTAGTCTTAGTCTAAAGGACTAAGTAATCTTAGTTTTAGCATTAATATTAAGAATGTTTATAGAGAGGGTTTTAAATATTATAGTATTTTATATTATTGCATTGTATTAATATTACTATATTAAAGATAATGACAACAGCTGCAAACAGACATGAGATGTTTAAAAGCAACAAGGAGGAAATTAAAATAGTTGAGAATTTATCTTTCTTGGATCAAAAATAGTTCATAATGGCAGTTCTACATCTGCTATCAAATAGAGGATAACCTTAGGCTACACTGCAATGATTAACATGAATAAGATTTTGAAAAGCAGAAATATTAATGTAAATTAAAAAAGCAGGCTAGTTAGAACCATAGTCTTTCCGATAATGATGTATGGGTTTGAGAGTTGAACTCTAAAAATGGTTGATCAAAGAAGAATTATCGTCTTTGAACTGTGGTGCTGGCATAAAATATTGTGTATACTACTGCCAGCCAGAACAACCAATAGAGAGGTGCTGAATCATATAAAACCAGAAACATCACTAGAAGCCAAAATCACAAGACCACGTCTGATTTACTTTGGGCATGTCATGCATGCAAATTCATTGGAGAAGTCAGTGATGCTAGAAATGGTTAGTTGGACAAGAAGAAGGGGCAAGCAAAGAGCTTGCTGGCTTGATACCATCAAAGCTGATACAAAGATGAACATTCACCAACTGAAAGAAGCTGTGCTTGACAGAGTAGCATGGAGACCACTTGCCTATAAAGCAGGGGTGAAATGCTACTGGTTCGGATCGGTTTGGGCAATCTAGTAGTAAAAAAAATGCTACCGGTTCAGATGAACCGGTATTTCCGACGATCAGCTGTGCCGCGTGATTTACATTCTCTAGAAAGCAGGAAATCCTGCTTTCTAGAGAATCTAAATCGCGCGGCACAGCTGTTTCCCCCCCCTATTGTTCTACTTACCTTAGAAAAGGCTTCTTAAGCCTTCTTTTTTAGCACTGCGCAGTAGCGCATGCGTGTGAAGCGTGTGTTTGGCACGCACCGCACACACGCACGAACCAGTAGCAGACTTCGGAGCATTTCACTACTGCTATAAAGTCACCAAGAATCTGACATGACTGAATGGTTAAAACTACTAAACTATTGTATTAGTATTTTTAGCTTTTAGTCATCTTTTATAAATTTCAGTGCTGTTATTAAAAAGGATGTAATATTTTCTGACTATATGTTAGTTTATAATTAGTATTGAATATTTGAAAACCAGACAACTCTGTTTTCAGGGAAGATAAGCAAACTACTAATAAAGCTTTTTTTTTCTAGTTTTATATTCACAGACATTTATTTATCCTACCTTTATTAGATACACATACATTTTTTTCCGTAATCATACGTGTTCTTTTCACTGACTAATTACTTCAGTTTATAACCTGCATTTCTATCTTTATTATGCTCGATGAATATAAATTTAAAATAAAATATAAATAATTGAAATTAAAGCTCAATAATAAAATCTTTATAAATATATTTCAAAAGCCCAGGTGAAGAGGAACAAATCCTTTCCTAAAAGTGGGAAAACATACCTTCTCAAGAGTACATTCTATAGTTTAAAAGCAATACAGGAAAGCACTCTCACTTGAGCAAAAAATAGGCTTCAGAAAATACAGGAATGTTAGGATTTATCTATTTGTTATTATAATTTTATTCGTGGAGTCGAGAAAATATGGTGCAATGGCATAGAGAATTAGTTATTCCCACTTGTCACTTTTCTGCTACTTGGAAAAAAAGTGGGACAAAATCATAACAGCTTTTGTTCATATTTCCTGTATATGGCCAGATTTGTAAGGCTGCAATCAAAACAAGCCCATGGTTTTAGCTATGTTTAGTCTTACCCACATAACAACTGTGTTTCATATTAAGTTTATTACTTGAAATGTTTTTCTGTAGTCAGAAAATAGTTTAATTTTACTTTCTTTCCAAAGTGCTTGTCGTCCAAATCAGTCTTCAAGGTGGCTTAAAGTAACAAAATTAGAATAAGTTAATTAGTTAATTATTAGTTACTATGCATTTCAAAAAAATATTACAGAATTAGTTTTAAAATCAGGTTAAATATAATTTCAGGTAAATATGTTGTCATGTAACTATATTTGGAAATACATTTATTCACCTTTTGCTTGCATCCGGTAACAATAAATAATATTTTTCTTCTCTTCTCTCCTCTTTCTCATAGGCTGCTATATGGCAAGCACTTAACCACTATGCTTATAGGGATGCTGTGTTTTTGGCAGAGAGACTGTATGCAGAAGGTATGAACCTACTCTGATATAAATATTTGCACTATTTACAGAATTGTTAAAATACTTTGAAGCTTTTTTTCTAGCATTATCCATGAAATCTAAATGGTAATGTGGTTTGATCAATTTATTTATTTTATTTTTATTTTTCATATTTGTATACCGCCCTACTCCCGAAGGACTCAGGGCGGTGAACAGCCATAATAAATACAAATACATATAGAAGTTAAAAACTATTAAGAAACAGATTAAGTAATTTAGGATCAAAGATTAAAAACATCCAAATTTATCTAAAGAGGTTTAAAACCCAATTTAAAAGCCAGTTTAAAAGCCAATTAAAAAGGGAGAGTTAGGCCAGACCAGCTTGTTGGAATAGAAATGTTTTCAGGGCACGGCGGAATATGCGTAAGTCTTGGATGTTTCGTAACTCGGGGGGAAGCCCGTTCCAGATGGTAGGTGCCCCCACAGAAAAGGCTCTCCCCCTGGGGGCCGTCAGTCGACATTGTTTGGCCAACGGCACCCAGAGGAGTCCCTCTCTATGGGAGCGAACTGGTCGGTGAGAGGCTATTGGTGGCAGGAAGCGGTCTCGTAAGTACCCTGGTCCTGAGCCATGGAGTGCTCTAAAGATAGTAACCAAAACCTTGAAGCGCACCCAGAAGACCACTGGGAGCCAGTGCAGCTCGCGCAGGAGGGGGGTTACATGAGAGCGCCACATTGCTCCCATTACCACCTGCGCGGCCGCATTCTGGACCAGTTGGAGCCTTCGGATGCTTCTCAAGGGGAGCCCCATGTAGAGAGCATTACAATAATCCAGGCGTGAAGTGACAAGGGCGTGAGTGACCGTGCGTAACGAGTCCCGATCCAGAAAGGGATGCAACTGGCGAATCAGGCGAACCTGATAAAAAGTCCTCCTGGCTACGGCCGTCATATGCTCTTCAAAAGACAGCCGTGAGTCCAGGAGGATGCCCAAGTTGCGAACCCCATCTGTGGGGGCCAACGACTCGCCCCCAATAGTCAGAGATGGCGCCAACTGACTATATCGGGACGACGGAAACCACAGCCACTCGGTCTTGGATGGGTTGAGTCTGAGTTTGTTCCTTTCCATATCAGATCCGTACGGCCTCCAGGCACCGGGACATCACCTCGAGGGCATCATTGGGGTGGTCTGGGGTGGAGATGTACAGCTGGGTGTCATCAGCGTACTGATGGTACTTCACCCCAAAACCATGGATGATCTCACCCAGCGGCTTCACATAAATGTTGAATAGAAGGGGCGAGAGGACCGATCCTTGTGGCACCCCACATATAAGGGGCCTCGGGGTCGACCTCTGCCCCCCTGTCAACACAGACTGCGACCGGTCAGAGAGAAAGGAGGAGAACCACTGTAGAACAGTGCCCCCCACCCCCAACCCTTCCAACCGGTGCAGCATGATCGATGGTATCAAAAGCCGCTGAGAGGTCTAGTAGGACCAGGACAGAGGAGCACCCCTGTCCCGAGCCCTCCAGAGATCATCAACCAATGCGACCAATGCTGTCTCTGTGCTGTACCCGGGCCTGAATCCCAACTGGAACGGATCTAGATAATTCGATTCATCCAGGTACTGAGGCAGTTGTCGTGCAACCACACTCTCAACAACCTTTGCAACAAAGCGAAGGTTGGAGACAGGACGATAATTTGCTAATACAGCTGGATCCAGGGAGGGCTTCTTGAGGAGGGGCCTCACCACCGCCTCTTTCAAGACGGTGGGAAAGACACCCTCACTCAAAGAGGCATTTATAATCTCCTGGAGCCAGCCTCGCGTCACCTCCCGGGAGGCCAGTACCAACCAGGATGGACACGGGTCCAATAAACATGTGGTCGCATTTAGTCTGTTCAGTATCCTGTCCACGCTTTCGGGAGTCACAAGATCAAACTCCTCCCAAATAATATTCTCAGGACCTGCCCCTGTCATCTCCTCTGGATCAATCCAGTCAGAGTCTAGCTGTTCACGAATCTGAGCAATTTTGTCATACAGATATTGTACAAAATCCTCAGCTCTACCCTCCAAGGGGTCTTCCCGCGTCTCTTGATGGAGCAGAGAGCGGGTCACCCTAAACAGGGCGGCTGGGCGATTATCTGATGACGCAATAAGAGTAGAAAAGTAGTTACTCTTCTCTACTCTTATCGCCACTAGGTAATTCTTAATATGAGATCTTACCAGTGTTCGGTCGGATTCAGAACGACTAGCCCTCCAACTGCTCTCTAGGCGTCTTTTCCGGCGCTTCATCTCCCTCAGCTCCTCAGTATACCAAGGAGCCAGGTGAGACCGGCGCCGGGTCAGAGGCCGCAAAGGCACGACTCGGTCTAAAGCATCAGCCGCCGCCCTATCCCAGGCGGCCACTAAGTCCTCAGCCGAGTCGTGTGCTAGAACCTCAGGAAATGGCCCAAGCTCCATCTGGAATCTCTCAGGATCCATAGGCGCCTGGGGCGGAACCACCTGGTCAGTTCCGCCTCCCTGCGGCGGGGTGTGGCGGTTCGAAGGTCCAGGCGAAGGAGGGAGTGATCTGACCATGACAAGGGTTCAATCACTATATCCCCTATCTCGAGATCACTCAACCACTGTCCAGAGACAAAAACAAGGTCCAGTGTGTGTCCCCCCATGTGAGTAGAGCCATAAATTAACTGGGTCAGGTCCATAGCCGTCATGGAAGCCATGAACTCCCGAGCCACCTCAGATGTCTCGCCAACTGATGACAGGTTAAAATCCCCCATGACCATAAGCCTGGGGGTGTCAACAGCCACCGCGGCTATAACATCAAGCAGCTCAGGCAGGGTTGCTGCCACATGGCAGGGAGCCAGGTACGTGACTAGCAAGCCCAACTGCACCCTATGACCCCACTTCACAAGAAGGGACTCACATCCAGCCGTCTGAGGAACAGTAGCCTCCCTTGGTCCAAGACCCTCGTTAATAAGAGCCTTGGTAGTACAAGGGTTTAAAACACCCTGTTATTAAGCTGCTTAAGACCAGCTGCCTGCAATTACTGCAGGGTTCGAATCTCGCCAAGGCTCAAGGTTGATTCAGCCTTCCATCCTTTCTAAGGTAGGTGAAATGAGGACCCAGTTTGTGGGGGCAATAAGCTGACTTTGTATAAATATACAAAAAGGATGAAGGCTATTGCTGAGCACATTGTAAGCCGCCCTGAGTCTTCGGAGAAGGGCGGCATATAAATCAAATTAAAACAACAACAACAAAAAAAAAACAACCGCCACCCCTCCGCCCCTCCCCTGAGACCTTGGCTGATGGAAAGCACGGAAACCTGGTGGGCACATATCAACAAGGGGGGTTCCCCCTTCCTGGCCCAACCAGGTCTCCGTAATACCCGCCAGGTCCGCACCCCTCTCCTGAATAAGATCACAAATGAGGGGGGCTTTATTTACCACGGACCTGGCATTGCACAGCATCAGCCAAAGGCCTGGGGCCTGAGGTTCCGTACAACCTGGGGAACGAGAAGAGCTTTGAGGGTCGGAGCGCGCCACCGCTTGTAAACAGCGAGGACGCACTCCCGTAGGATGATGTGGCCCCCTGCTCCCGCCATATCTGCCCCTCCCACCTACAGTATCGATGTTATGGGCATCTGTATCGTAAGATCTAATCATCTCCTTGACCCCAGAGTTCACACCTCCCATGCCACGCCCTACAGCTGGCCCAGATACCCTCCCCCATGGGTCTTCCCCCGAACCCACGTAATCTACTCCCCTCCCAGAATCCCTTAAAATCTTATTAAGAAATTTCCCTAAAAAACCCCATAACCCTCTTTTTGCTGTATGCCATCTCTCCGGACTCCAAAGTCCGTCATCGAGATAGGCCCTCGATAAAGAAGAGGGCCAGACCTGCGAGAGGGGGGCATCTCGCAGTTTGAGGAGTTCTCCCAATGAGTACATTTACATATGAGTACAATAGCAAAGATGGCAGCTGTATAGTGCAGAGTAGTGTATAGGAGTATTCCTATAAGCTTGAAAAAATAGTTTTAGTAGATAGCAGTCTAAGTATATAGTCAGTGATAGTAAAAATGTTTATTAAAAGCCAAAATATAGGCTTCTTTGATAGATCAGCTCTCAGGTAGAAGGAGGTCGTACTCTAAATGTGTGAAAACTGGGCAATATTTTAAAACTGTAGAAAGTACTGTCATATGCTAAATCGTACTTTATTGTGTTATATTATTTCATATTTATATAATAAAAAATTGAGCATGTACACAGATAAAGGATGATACTTGATAAATATAGGGAAAAATGCTGGCCTAGAAAATATTTTCCTTCTTTACTTATGACATTGGTCAATATTAATGTACAGTTTTTAAAGCCTTTCCTCACTTCCATCTATGCACAGCACAAATGCATCCTAGCAGCATTTTTTGTTACTGTTATTCCTGACTCCACGATGTTGGAGTCAGGAATAAATGACAAACTTGTCATTTTTAGCTGTGCTAGTATTAATCTTTTTCCTCTTATTGCTCAAAGATAGCCTCCAAGTATTAAAATGTATTTTACTCTGTCACCTATTAGTTGGGTGTCAGTTAACTGCTGCGATTTGAAACAAAGGCTATAGCATAGGGCTGGGAAAATGGAAAAGTCAACCTCTACTGGCATAGTTTTCTGCAACTTAGAGATGGGTGGTTAGCATTTCAAGAACAGTGGAGAAAGATCTAACATCAAACAGAATAGAGTAAGTTCATGATTGTTCATACTACAACCTCATATTATTCTCATAAATTGATAAGTTATGGAGAACTCTTGATGCTTGCCAACAAAATTATTGTAATTATTATGTAAAGCAAAAATTAAATAGACTTTCAAAGTAGTTTGGCATGAATGTTTCTACAAAATACTATGCACCTTAACTGTTTGCATCCAGAGGTTCAGGGTATGGAACTGATACTTTTTGTATTTGTTTTTTATTTCTTCAGTACATTCAGAAGATGCACTCTTCCTATTGGCAACCTGTTATTATCGCTCAGGAAAAGCTTACAAGGCATACAGGCTCCTTAAAGGACACAGTTGTACCACCCCACAGTGCAAATATTTGCTTGCCAAGTGCTGCATTGATCTTGGCAAGTAAGTTGTTCCTATGTTTGTTAGCAGTTGTAATATCCATTTCACTTTATAAAATATGTGTCACCATTTTGTGGCTTTTCAGCTATGGGTTACTCAGATTATGGAATGCATTCACTTTGAGGTGTAAAAGCAAAGTACAAAAGTCTTGTAAAAGAAAAAGTGAAGAAATAGAAATATTCTCTTAAAACTAGTATGATATAATCTTAAAGTATACATCTCACATTTCTACAGTGCTGCTTTAGGTGAGCTGTAAATATTAAGTAGTCTATGGAGTAGTTCAGATTTTAAGGGAAAAATGGTGAGATGACTCATGCAGCACCTGTTGACAACTCCAGGGAGAAGTGGAGCAAGTCTATTCTGTGGAGTTGTGAAGGGTAGCACCACAGTGCTAAGAAAAAATAAAGCTAGTCTAAGCAGTTGTTGACAAATGTCTGAGCACTTCCACTTGCTCCAAAGCATTGATAGCCCTAGTATTAAGCCTAGAAGAAGTGTAATGATTATGTTTTAATATCTAATTATTAGCAAATTTCTGTTACCATGGAGCTGCTTTATTTCTTTCTTGAAATGAATGTTGCATTAATAGAGAATAGCTTACTGATACAGTTTAACAAGGAATGCATAGAGAAGTTGCTCTCCGCAAGCTCAATACAGGATAAACAAAATATTTATTTAAATGTAAAAGAATAAACTCATAACAACTGCATGAGAGATCATTTGTTCCTTTCCAGTAAATGTGGAACTACAGCTGAGGATTCCATGTGAGCAATAAGAAAACTGAGAAGTAAACCTTTGTTTACATTTCATTGCTCTTATTTCATTTTGTTCTTCTGTTTATTTTTCTTAATTTCTATTTTATTATCTTTAAGCAGACTCGCAGAAGGAGAACAGATTCTGTCTGGTGGAGTTTTTAACAAACAGAAAAGTCATGAGGACATTGTAACTGAGTTTGGAGATTCTGCATGTTTCACACTATCCCTTCTGGGCCATGTGTACTGGTATGGCTTCTCTACTTCTTTGGGATAAATTGTTGTTCCACTATCCTCACCCAATATGGAGAACTTACAAGTGTGTAGATTTATTACTATGGCTTGTTGCACAGTCAGCCAAACAGATTAGAGTTCTTCCCAATGACCCGAGGTAGGCAGATGTTGTTCTTTGTAAGCTGTTCCACTTAAAGCTGCCATTTGCAATTGATTGATAGTGATTTTGCCAATGTTGATGTGCCAGATGTATTCGAGATTGCACCCAAGTTGCCCATTACTATTGGTGTAATCTTTGCTTTATTATGTTTCATTGCATAGTTAGATGGTCAGACTGGATTTGGTCTTTATCCACCTATCAAGTCCTTCAAAGGATCTGGAATAGACAGATGTTAATATTTAATGGTTTTAGAGATACTGTCACAAGTTGTAAGATGTTCCAAGTAAAGTGGTCTTTTTCAGTTGACAGATAGTGAATTTGTCAATGCCAATGGTGTTTATTATTATATTTTGTTCCACTTTCATTCTGTGGATTATAGACACACAGTTTGTTTAGCAAAAAGAAGGATCTTTATTTATAAGTAATCACCTCTACTTCTGTTGTAAAACTTCAGGTATAGATACTTCGTTCCTTCCATTTATGCAAAAAACATTCAACATATTTTTTAGCGATCTGGATATATATAAGCAATACAGAAATGTTTCTCTTAGAACTTTATTATTGAGCAGTCCTTGGCGCTCTCTGAACTTGATTGTTTTCTTGTAGATGTTTCATTAGCCAAACTAACATTGATTATATTACTGTACGGAGTTTGGGTAATGAAATGTCTGAGAAAACAATAGGGCTCAGAGAACACCAAGGACCTCTTATTTCAATCCTAAATTTCAGATGTTCTCCTTCATTGGAACGTCATGATGTTTAGATTTTTCCAAATTCTGTGGACATGCACTCCTCATGTAGGAATTTTCCAGTTCTTCCAAAACAAAAACTATTGACCAACAACCTTATACAGTATGTACATGTTTATGTGTACTGATGTATACAGAATACAGATAGTGCTCGACTTACAGTAGTTCATTTAGTGACCGTTTGAAGTTACAATGGCATTGAAAGAAATGACTTATGACCATTTTTCACACTTATGATCATTGTAGCTTCCCCATGATCATGTAATTTACATTCAAATGCTTGTCCACAGGTTCATATTTATGATGGTTGCATTGTCCTGGGATCATGTGATCATCTTTTGTGACCTTCTGACAAGCAGAGTCAATGGGGAAGCCAGATTCACAACAATGGTGTTACTAATTTAACAACTGCAGCGATTCATTTAACAAATGTGGCAAGAAAAGTCATAAAATGGGCCAGTGATTCACTTAAAAAATTTCTCAACAACATAAATTTTGGGCTCAATTGTGGTCGTACATTTTCTCTTATCTTCTCAAGATTTTTTGACTCTAATAAGACAGGAATCCATGTATTTTGGTTGGTATTCATAATCTGTGGCTAATTTCCAGTGCACTTATCTTCCTACTGCTGTACCTAAATTGGGAGAAACGTATTTGTTTTGTACTTGAATTTAAAAGCTCTATGAAAATCTTAAAAATGCCTCAATATCTAGCATGAATTAAAAGATCAGCTCTCACTCATCACTAGCATGTATGTTGATGGATCTCATTGTAAAGAGTTTGTATCCCTTGAATTTCAGTACAATTCTTTGTAATTCCCACCTTTCCTAATATACAAAACCTCTTTCAAAAATGTTTGGGCACTATAATAGACTGTCTTATAATAGTGGCCCCCAACCTTTTGGGCATCAGAGACCTGTTCCATGGAGAGAGGTTTTTCCACAGACCGAAAGGGGTGTGGTTTCATGTGCTGCCTGCATCTCGTGGACAGGGCTTCCCCTTTTTTTGCGCAGCCCATTTTCTGGCATGGTGCAGACAAGTGCTGGTCCACAGAGCAGTGGTTGGGGACCCAGTCTTATAAAATTACCAATGTCGTTGTACTAAACGTTCTGTTATAGTCACTTAGCTGACTGTCCTCATTTTTTTAAGGAATATATAGTTTGCATAAAGTTTATGTAACATATGTAAGTTAGTAAGTAAGAAATGTACAGATTTTTGTATATCTATTTAACTCTCCAATATCCAGCTGCCCAAGTGCAAGAGAGAATTCTAAAATGGCTGGTAATTCTTACTTTTCTGCTGAACTCTTTTCCCTCTGTGTTATCTGTCTTCTCTTTTTTATTAACAGTAAGACAGATCGGCTTGCCAAAGGATCTGAATGTTACCAAAAGAGCCTTAGTTTAAATCCCTTCCTCTGGTCCCCTTTTGAATCACTATGTGAAATAGGTAGGTATTGTTCAATTCAATTTTTTTTAATCATCTCTCTATTAATTATTCTGATTAGGAATGGGACACAGAGAATGTCATGTCTTCTGTTATGAACTGGAAAAAATGCAAATGTTTATAAATATTTTACTTTTAAATTTGCCTTACTTGAAACTAAAATTGAACAGAAATGTGAGTTACTGTTTTGGATGGTTTCCTTTTTTATTAAAGCTCATTCAGTTGTTTTTATTAATATGATTCATGCTGGCCTGTATAGGTCTTGATTTTAGATGCTGTGCCTTTCAAAATTTATTTTCGGGACTGAAGATGATCACAGCAGCTTAGAATCTCATTGTATCCTGTTTTGGATAGATAATATGTAAAAAAATCTATAATTTGGACATAAATATATGCTGCAATATATTCTAAAAAAGAGATGAAAACATTTTGCAGACAATTTGTATGCTGCACTAAGGAGGAGAGGGTGCATCTTTGTGGGCACCAGGAAAATAAAATAAAACTATTTTTAAAATAACAAAATAGGAAAAAACCAGGCTAAGGCCAAAATAATAATAAAAAAACAAAAAGCCTTTGATTGTTATGACAATTTATAGCAGCAAGCTACAGTTCAAAATTTTGGAGAGGAGCAGGCCTTCTGGGTTTCATATGGGCATATTGCTTTCCTTGCTTAGTATTAAATTTTTACCATTCTTACGTTAGAATTTTCGTTCCTAAAAATTAATGCTGTATTCCAGATTCAGAACTGTGTTCTTAACATGTACAACCTCAACTGATCTCTTTCCAAGACCAAAGTTTTATAATTAAATGTGCAGAAGTAGTTTGATGTTTCAAGTGTCAAATTCAAAAGTTAAAGTGCCTTAGATACAAAATACTTGCCAAGTTGGAAATACAGATTTAGAATCTAGAATTAAGCCAATGCTCAGTTCTTAGTTATTTTGTGTTTCATGTATATATACATGCATGTTTTAAACTTGCTACTGTTCCATCATTTGCTGCATATAGGTCTCTTGCTTTCCTATTACTTTGGAATTGACTACAGGTAGTCTTTGATTTACAACAATTCATTTAGGGACCATTCAAAGTTATAACAGCACTGAAAAAAGTGCCTTATGATGGTTTTTCACAGTTATGACCTTTGCAGCATCTCCATAATCATGTGATTAAAATCCAGATGCTTGGCAACTGGTTCATATTTATGATCATTGCTGTGTCCCACGGTCATGTAATCATCTTTTGCAATCTAAATGGGTAAACCATATTGACTTAACAACTGCAGTGATTCATTTAACAATGTGGCAAGAAAGGTCATAAAATGGGGCAAAACTCACGTAACAAATGTCTCACTTAACAGAAATTTTGGGCTCAATTGTGGTTGTAAATTGAAGACTACCTGTCGTGGCAGAGTCAGTGATTTGACTAGCTATGTTGCCTTAGCATGCCTATATTTTGAAACTTCTTGTATCATATGTGTACTGTACATTTATATGTGCTTAAGTATTTTTATTTTTGCTTTTGCGATCAAATTGCACTTCAGTATAAAAAATGGGATTCACAATTGAATTTGAAGCAACTATATCATGATTATTGATAAATTCCATTGCTAATATCATAGATTATGGAAAGAAAGGGAAATAGTAAAGGATCCACCTGACTTACTTTCTTGAAGAAACACTCTTCCACTTTGATGATTTTGTGATTAAAGTAGAAGAGTGTTTGGCATCCCAAACTATAGGTAGGATTGTGTTATTGATTTGATTAAATACACATCAAGTACTGTTACACTATACCCACCCCCTCACTCCCAGATTATCCACTAGTATCAATCATTGTAGCCAAGTATTTTTACTTGGAACTTGTATATTTTTCAGTACAGAATTCTAGCCATAGGTTTAAAATAAACGTCATCATTTAAAGATTTTTATTTGAGAACATAAAAATAAGTAGATATTTGATTAGAATAGAACTTTTTAAAATAATGGCCTACTATTTAGTAAAGGGAATGACTTTCACAAATTTCCAAAACTTTTTGAATAGAAATAGAGCCAGTTTGATGTAGTGGTTAAGGCACAAAGCTAGAAACAAGGGAAGTGTGAATTCTAGGCATAAGAGCCAACTGTCTTCCCCAATTCACCTCACAGTGTTGTTGTTGTGGAGAAAATAGGGAGAGAAAGGCGTACTAAATATGTTCGCTGCCCTGAGCTATTTATAAAAATAATAAAGGCAGGAAAAACCTTGGCTCTTCTGCAGGGTATTTGGAGTGTGTGATCTAATGAGTCCTGCTGGTTTTAATTCTGCTTTATCTTAATTCTAATTGCATTTCACTTTTTTCTGTTAGCTTAATTTTATTTTAATTTAATAGTTCTTCTTTATGTTATATTGCTGATAGTATATGTTTTAAACTATTTTTGACTATATTAATTTTTGAATACATTATATTATTGTTTGTAGTTATCTATTATCTATTATTTGAATGGGCAGAATATAAATGCTGGAAATCTAGCCATTTCCTTTACTGAGTACTAGACCATTATGTTAAAAGCTTTTCTAGTCATACATCTACTTATCAGTGATATAACTACCATGGATCAGACATTAGAAACTGTACTAAAATTGTGTCACCTTTGGCTGAATTGAATATGTATGGCAAAAGGTAAACAACCTGGTGCCCTTCATTGCTCCTCATCTGCTAGAATACACAAAAATGGAGAGGTAATATGAACTATAGTTCAAAATTTCTGATTGGTGCTATATTACCTTCTCTTATTTTAACTATTGATTGTTACAATGTTTAGTAACAATAAATTTCACATACATTCCATGCTAGGGGATTAAATAGGATCCGTCTAAAATATTCCTTTTTTCTTTTTTGTATCTTCCCGTGCCTCCCAACCCCTTTCATTTTCATTACAGGTGAGAAGCCAGATCCTGAGCAAACTTTCAAGTTAACTTCTATACAGAACTTCAGCAGCTGCTTGCCTAACACATGCACAACAGTGGTGTCTAATCACAACATAATTCACAGACAGCCAGAAACCGTTCTTATGGAAACACCACAGGACACACTTGTATGTTTATACCAGTCATACTTAATCACGACCATCTTTATAGTTCATACTGTTCATGTTCTTTAGAAAAATGTGTATTGTCTTTAAGAAATGGTTTTCTATTTCAGGAATTAAACAGACTCAACCTGGAGTCCTCCAACTCTAAATATTCCTCCAACACAGATTCCTCCATTTCTTATATTGACTCGGCTGTAATTTCACCAGATGCTGTATCTCTTGGATCAGGAACTGCCTTTTTAACGAAACAGGCTCAGAACAAACCAAAAACTGGCAGGAGTCTTCTAGGTGGACCAGCCGCCCTGAGCCCTTTAACACCAAGGTAAAGAATTTGAAAGTTGTTCCTCCATTTTCTTTTAGGAAGCATTGCTAGAAGAATTGGCGCACAGATCCCCTCCTCATCAGGTCTCTATTATTGAGACCTGATGAGGGGATCCGTGCGCTAATAAATATAGACTGGCATATGCTTTTATAGTAGAGAGCTTACTTTATGAGATGCATAAATGCATGTGCAAGTATATCGGGAAGGCACCTTAATATTTTAGAATATGAAATGTAAGCAATCCAGTAAAATTCTGTGTGTGTAAAATTAAAATGTGCACAAGAACACCATCCATTTGCAACAGCAGTAAATTGATTAAATAATCTTATATTTTTTATATGTACATCTTTTACTCAGAATGAAAAATGAATGTAAGGATTCAGTTGAGACCTGAATGAATAGGATCAAATTTACTAATAAAATAACTTCCTTTTGGAGTTTTCCTATGAGTCTTGGGAGCTAAAGCAATAAAATATTTAGAGAGTTGTAAAATATACTTCAGCTGCTTTCTAAATATTGTCATTTAAAGTCAGTTTTTTTTTATTGTTGTTCTCCTGCATATGACAAACAGATCATTGTCTGAAAAGAACCTTTATGAATGTGTTTAATGATTTGTTAATGTGGGCTCTAGTACACAATTCAAATTTACCCAGGTATATTCACCCCCTCCAAGTATTCACTTGAATTTGCCTATTAACTAAAACCTAATTTTTGGATATATTTTTAAAATTATAGCATATTCTAAGCCTTCAAATTTGTTTTCAGAACCAGAGCTGAATTGAACACATAGCCCATTCCTGATTCCCCCAAGCTTTCTTCATTTCAGCAACCTAATTTAGGTGGGAAAATATTTTTGTTGTTGCTGTGATTAAATGTGGAAATCAGAAACTCTTGCTGACAAGCTTCATAATCACCCAGAGACTACTTGCAGATTTCGATTTTGCTTTTCCCCACAGCTAAATTACTTAATATGATTATTTTGAAGATAAATGATAATAAATTAGCTATTTATCTGAATTCTATTCTTAACCTGAAGAGCTGGAATAATTTTCATTTTTTAATATTTCATTTATTTAAAATGAGTATGTTACATCTTTTTCATTTTTTTTCTTCTATTCAATCTTCTGTTCAATCCGTTCAACTTTTTGGAGCCTGCCTGGACAAGTATCTGCAGTTTTCTTGGCAAGATTTTTCAGAAGTGGTTTGTCATTGCCTCCTTCCCAGGCTGAAAGAAAATGACTAGCCTAAGTTTACCCAGATGGCTTTTTGTCTAAGGCAGGACTAGAACTCATAGTCTCCCAGCTTCTAGCCTGATGACTTGACCACTATACTACACCAGACTGGCTCTCATCATTTTAATTAGAATAGTTGTTTTTCTACAAAATATTCTGTAGCCTTAAGTGATTAATCCAAAAATGAAAAATGATAAATCCCCTTTTGATAACAAACAAAAAATGGAGTTAATTCCTATACTTGAATATAATATAATCTTAGTGTTATATTTTTAATGTGTATATAACTGGAACTTTGTAAATTCTTATTCTTAAAAGAAAGATACTTCACAGTGCATGTACAAGCCTTAGGCTGCAAATTTTTCTTGTTTTCAAAAATGCTCTTTTCCTGCCTCCTCTTTCTTTAGGAACATATATATATTGAAATGCTCTTGTATGTTTCCTCAGTTTTGGAATATTGCCATTGGAAACTCCTAGCCCCGGAGATGGATCTTATTTACAAAACTGCACAAATTCTTCTTCCGTAATTGATGTGCCACCTCAAGGAGCCCCTTCCAAGAAGGTATCTTGTGCCAATGGATGTGCATCTAAGATTGCTTAAGGAAATGTAAAATTTTAGCTACTTGTTCCTTACAAGAAAAAAAATGTCAAACCCACTTTATGATATTTAATTTCTGTGTATTTCCCCTCTATTATTTTCCTAGTAAACATAATATTAGAGAAAAATATGCAGACACCTTACATAGATAATCTGGAAATATTTTAATATATGTTTTTCCAAGCTATAGAAACTGGAATTTTATTTTTAAATTACATTAAGATGCTTATTTTTACAAATTGTAGAATCTTATAAACTTTCATGTTTACACTGCTTTTTTTAAATGCTAGCTCATAAAAGGAATTCAGAGCAAGTATTCAGAATCTGGTAGAGAAAACTATTTAACGTGTGGCAGAATTAATGTAAAACCAAAACTATTTTGTCTTTCCTTAATTAATTTTTCCTGCTCCATAAAATGGATGCTTCTACTTTATATATAGACTGGTGAAGTTAATAACAAATTGAAATCAGCTTCATACAGTTATTCCTTTAGGATTTTTACTGAAATTGACAGTATGTAGGATTGTATTGGCTTGCCCTGTTCTTGTGAGTGTACTGCAGAATTCGATTATCTGTCATTGCTCTGCCATAGTTGTGTGTCTATAGGAAGAAAAGGACATTTCTAACAGTGTGATGTTTGTCAAAGCTAATGGATTATTTTATGGTGTAAACCATGCAATAAAATGCATATCACTTTCTACTTAACATTCTTCTCTCTAGGTAATATAATGAACTAATAAAATAAATATATTTAGCAGATTGTCCCCTATCTCTGCCAGTGAAAGTCATGTCATAGTCTGCAATTGCTATAAATATAATGCATAATTAACATTATGATACATTTTTGTATAGACTGTTACCAGAATAAATCAAGCTGGAACAAAGTCGGTCTTCTCACAAAGTGGTAATAGTCGGGAAGTAACACCAATCCTTGTTGCCCAGACCCAAAGTTCAGGTGCACAGACGAGGTACGCAATGTTTTCCTAACCTGGTGTATAATTTTTCTTCCTATTCCAAGATATATGTTTTCTTCCTAGGCTGCATCTGCTGTTGTCATGTTTCCTGTATTTCTGGTTAAGAAACACAGTTGAAACCCTAACCACATAAATTATGTTAAGAAATTTGATTTCTCTCTCCAGTACAACTCCTCAGGTATTGAGCCCAACTATTGCTGCTCCCCCTAATGTGCTGCCTCGAAGAAGTTCACGTTTGTTCTCCAGTGATAGTTCTACAGCCAAGGTAAATGGGAATTCTACATGTATTTACTTATTACTTACTTACTTACTTACTTACTTATAAATTTATATCCCGCCCTTCTCCCCGAAGGGACTCAGGGCGGTGAACAGCCGAGAATTAAAATAACATACAATATAAAAGTTAAAATAATTAAAAATAAATTAAATTAAATGGCCGCCCCAATTTAAAACCCCTAGCAATACAATTAAAAAAAACCCTAAAACCTATTCAGGCCAGGCCGGCTTGCTGAAATAAAAACGTCTTCAGGGCCTTACGGAAAGTGTGGAGATCCGGAATCAGCTGTATTCTGGGAGGTAGCTCATTCCAGAGGGCGGGTGCTCCCACAGAGAAGGCTCTTCCCCTGGGGGCCGCCAGCCGACATTGCTTGACCGAAAGCACCCTGAGGAGGCCCTCTCTGTGAGGGCATATTGGCCGGTGGGAGGTTATCGGTAGCAGCAGGCGGTCTCGTAAATATCCTGGCCCTAAGCCATGGAGCGCTTTAAAGGTGAAAACCAACACCTTGAAGCGCACCCGGAAGACCACCGGGAGCCAGTGCAGCTCGTGCAGGAGAGGTGTTATATGGGAGCGCCATGTCGCTCCCGTGATCACCCGCGCGGCTGCATTCTGGACCAGTTGGAGCCTCCGGGTGCTCCTCAAGGGGAGCCCCATGTAGAGAGCGTTAGTGTAGTCCAGGCGAGAAGTGACGAGAGCATGAGTGACTGTGCATAAGGAATCCCGACTCAGAAAGGGGCGCAATTGGCGTATCAGGCGAACCTGATAAAAAGCCCCCCTGGCCACGGCCGTCATATGCTCTTCTAAAGACAGCCTTGTGTCCAGGAGGATGCCCAAGTTGCGAGCCCCCTCTGTGGGGGTCAATGACTTGCCCCCAATAGCCAGCAATGGCACCAGCTGGCTATATCAGGATGCCGGCATCCACAGCCACTCGGTCTTGGAAGGGTTGAGTCGAAGCCTGTTCCTCCCCATCCAGACCCGCACGGCCTCCAGACACTGGGACATCACTTCAAGGGCATCGTTGGGGTGGTTTGCAATTTATTTCCTACCTCAAGGTAACATTGGGCAGCTTCTAATCATAAAAAATAAACCTATATAAACTAAAAATATAAAATCCAGAAGACCATGTCCCATTTAAAAGAGGGTGGGAGCAGGATATAGGGTGGTAGGATCCGTTGTTAATTGACCAACCATCTCCATTGTGATACTCTCGCCCCCGATTGGTGCTCCAACCTAACTGGCAGAGTTAGGTCTTTAGGCTTTTCCAGAAGGTTAGGAAGGTTTGTGGCCACTCATCGATTAATATTTTTCAGGAAATTCAGAGCCTAAATGAGCAGCAGCAGAAATATTTAATGGGACTACAGGTATAATTAAAACAGGACTGTTGCCTTCATATTGATTGATATTAAATTTTTCTGAACAGAATTGATTTCAAATATGCTCTAACATAGTATTTCTCAATCTCAGCAACTTAGGTGTGTGGCTTGAACAGAATTCCCTGACTGAGGAATTCTGAAAGTTGAAGTCCACATATGTTAAAGCAGCATTGCCTTAGGCCAGGGATGTCAAACTGCTAGCCCACAGGCCAAATGCGTCATGTGCAGGCCATGCCTACCCCAGCTCCACAAATGGGAAAAACATCACAATCATGTGATGGCAATGTGATGTGGCGAGTTTGCAGAATGGGACTTTTCGTCTCCGACTCTTCCTTCTCAGGCATTTCCCCTTGGGCGATTCTCCCCAACTTACTCCTCAGCTGGCATGCCTCCAGCCATTTGCCCTGGACATTGGGCCACCAGCCCCTACGTTCCATACCCTTCAGCATAGTCCATTCACAGAAAGAGGTTTGTCCTGGGTGTTCCGTCCCCTGTGACAGTTAGCCCCCAACCAATCGGCTAGAGGGGGTGTAATAGAAATCCAGCGAAAGGAGAGAGGTGTAAAAGAATTTGCCAAAATGCCTTCCTCCCCCCCCTCTCTCTTCCCCTCCCCAGCCTCCTCTCCCCCCCCCTCCCCAATACAGGGAGGAACAGTTGGTTTACTCAGAAGTAAGTCTCGCTAAATTCAATACTAGGATTGCAGCATGAAATATTCACCTAGTATTTCTAATGGAACAGTTGATTTACTCAGAAGTAAGAATTCTTTAGAGGACAATTAATAGAAATCCAGCGGAAGGAGAGAGGTATAAAAGAATTGCCAAAATGCCTTCCTCCGTCTCTCTCTCTCTCTTTCTCTCCCCAGCTTCCCCTTCCCCCACCCATAATAGGGAGAAACAGTTGGTTTATTCGGAAGTAAGTCTCACTAAATTCAGTGCTAGGATTGCAGCATGAAATATTCACCTAGTATTTTAAATGGAACATTTCTGCGCCTGGATTTTTCTTCCTACACCTTCGCCTCCCCATTCTCCCCCTCGCTTTTCCATTTCTGTGCTTTTCCATTTCGGCTCCTGGATTCTCATTCCTACACCTTCGCCTTCCCATTCTCCCCCTCACTTTTCCATTTCTGCACCTGGGTTCTCCTTCCTACACCTTCTCCTCCCCATTCTCCCCTTTGCTTTTCCATTTCTGCTCCTGGATTCTCCTCAAAGTGGAGAAAATGTGTCTTTCAGCAGGGGCAATTGAGATAGCTAGGATATCACTTCCGAGCGGGGTGGGAGGGTGGGTGATGAAAGAGAGTAGACGCATTCCGTGAGCGGATTACAACACTAGCATATTGCTCCCACTCCAACAATCCTTGTTTTATGTAGAATTCAGTTCCCCAAAACAATGTTCACCTTCCTTTATTTTATTTTATTCCCCCCCCCCGCCCCCCAAAATATCCTGGTCTCCAGTTCAGAAGAGGAACGAACTGCTTTCTGGAGTGTGATCGAGTGAAATGGCCTTTTATCTCTGCACCCTGCCTTCCTTACCTTTTTCAGTCACACCCACACCCACACACCCTTTACTAAGTTCCACCCCTCTAGAGGAGCCTCAAACATGGCTAGTTGTACAAGCTATAAATCAAGGCTGAACTTTCTAGATAGGAGGAGGAAAGATAAATTTGCTTACTTTTTTAAGCAGATTTTTTAAGCAGATAGAATTTGTAGCGGTTATGAACAAGGGTAGAAAGAGAGGATTTTAGAAATCCAGATCTGCTGTTATGGTGGGTGTGTGGAAGGAAGGAAGGAAAAATTCTCTTCTATTGGACCTTCCAGACTTGGTTAACTAACTGGTTGAAGGGAGGGTGGGGGGGAGGGAGGAAGGAAGGCTTTTAGTCTGCTCAGTAACAGCATTACTGTCTGAACTCTTTTGCGGGGCTCTTAAAAAGACGTCCAGCCAGGTAAAGTTGTTAAAATGCCAGGTGTCCAAGACAGATCCTGGCTGGGCAGGTGATTCAATGACTAATTGAAGGCTTTGTCTCTTTCCTCCCAAGTGTAACCTTTTCCGAGACATCCAAGGATTCTAAGTATGCTTTCAGGGATTGGGGGAGGGGGGGGGAGAAAGGCATTTTGGCAAATTCTTTTACGCCTGTGAAGAAAGAGCATTGGGCCCTGTATTGATGGGGGGGGGAGAGGAGGCAGGGGAGGGGAAGAGAGAGAGAGGGAGGAAGGCATTTTGGCAAATTCTTTTACACCTCTCTCCGCTGGATTTCTATTAATTGCCCTAAAAAATTCTTACATCTGAGTAAACCAACTGTTCCATTAGAAATATTAGGCAAATATTTCATGCTGCAATCCTAGCATTGAATTTAGCAAGACTTACTTCCAAGTAAACCAACTGTTCCTCCCTGTATTGGCGGGGGTAGAGAGAGGAGGGGGGGGAAGAGAGAGAGAGGGAAGGAGGAAGGCATTTTGGCAAATTCTTTTACGCCTCTCTCCTTTTGCTGGATTTCTGTTACACCCCCTCTAGCCGATTGGTTGGGGGCTAACTGTCACGGGGAGCGGAACACCCAGGATGAACCCTCTTTCAGCAAATGGGCCATGTCGAAGGGTGTTGGACGAAGGGCTAGTGGCCCATTGCCCAGGGCAAATGGCTGGAGGCATGCCAGTTCAGGAGTTAAGTCGGGGGAGAATCACCCGAGAAGAAATGCCCGAGGAGAAGGAAGAGTCAGAGACAAAAAGTCCTAAACCCCAGTTTGACACCCATGCCTTAGGCTGTGAAAACATGTATCATAACAAGTTAATTTAACTCCTTGTTTTCATTGTAAAACAAACAATTATTTTTACTCTATTACAATGGAGCACTGTGGCTCATGTGATTAGGGCGCTGGATTGACAAGTAGCAAGCCTGCATTTGAGACCCGAGTGCTGCCATGGGACGGCGAGCTCCCATCCTTTGCTCCAGTTCCTGCCGGGGGACATGAAAGGAGCCCCTAACTGGTCATCCCCCAGGCAAAGATGATAATCCTTTCAATCTGGAAGTGCCTCAGTGCTTTCGGCAGGAGAGCAATGCAATCTCATTACAAATGTTTCATATGATAGTGTTATAGATTATCCTTCACTTCAGATGTAGAGAAGTATTCTAAATAAAATTGTACATGTTTTAGATATATTTCAATTAAAGACATTGAAGAGCTATCATCCTTTCAAAGCATCTTTCATATTGAAATAATTAGTCAAAATAATATCAAAATCCATTAAATCAATAATGAAGTGTAGTAAAGCTGTAATTGGATGGTAGCGGACAGGAAGGCCTGGAGGAATGTTGTCCATGGGGTCGTGATGGGTTGGACACAACACAGCAACTAACAGCAACAACAACAAAAGCTGTAATTGCAAACATGAAAAAACTTTATTCAGTAATATTTCATCCTCTGCTTTTGAACCATCCACCTCTCTCACATCAGTATAATCAGTCCATACTAAATTATATTGTTGATGCAATGTAAAACAACTCTAGATCAGTTTTCTTGAGTGGAATTGAGAGTCTATAATATTAAAAACCAGATGGAAAGATATCATGGGCATCTTTTATTCTATAAGCTTAAGTAATGCTATTATAGAAAGTAGGTAATATGTGTTTTGGTGTCTGATTCCATTATATATGTTGTATGAAATCACATAATTAGTTCAAAGCCATAAAATTTCATCAAAAATCACAAAGCCTTGGAAAAATTAATCAGGCAAAAGTCAAAATGAGTGCAGTTAATAGGATTATGTAGTACATATTTCAGTACTATACTACATGAAATTAAATGAAGCCATAGGTTAAATTGGGCTGAGATTCCCCATCCAAAATGAAGTTCCTCTAAATTTCTACCATGATTTGTTTTGCAAATTTCTGTTTTGAATGGTATACTTTGCTATTTGGCTGCCAGGAAAGATTCTTTAAAATGTTTTTTCTTCTTTCATAGGAAAATAGTAAAAAGTTAAAAATGAAGTTTCCAACAAAAATTGCAAATCGAAAGACAAAATGTAAAACCAGTAAAGGAGGGATCACACAGCCAAACATAAATGACAGTTTGGAAATCACCAAACTTGATTCGTCCATTATTTCAGAAGGAAAGATTACCTCAGTAACGCCACAAATCCAGGCATTTACATTACAGAAAGCTGCAGCAGGTGTGTAGAATATTTCTGAGAATTCCTTCAGAGTAGTAAACTTGTGCCAAACCCAAAAGGCAGCGATAGTGTAAAATTCAAAAGCAAGAAAAACATAGAAAATACCTGTTGGAATAGAGTTAAAATGAACAGTGCAAGTTCCTCTAAAATTCTTGTTCTTTCTAATTAAGTTGCCATGATGGTTTCTTGAGATTATGTGCCACATTTATCACCAGTGGCAATTTTAAGCAAGTATATCTCTTTGTTCTCCTGTGTATTTATTGCATTTTTTTCCTAGAAGGTTTGATGAGCCTTCTTCGTGATATGGGGAAAGGATATTTAGCCTTGTGTTCCTACAATTGTAAAGAAGCCATTCATATACTGAGTCATTTGCCTTCTCATCACTACAACACGGGCTGGGTGCTATGCCATATTGGAAGAGCTTACTTTGAACTTGCAGAATACATGCAGGTAAAGAGGCCATAGAATAATTTGGGGGGATACTACATTCTGTATTTGCAGTGAATTGTACAAAAATTGACCCCAAAACATAAACTTGAAATAGTTAAAATTTCCTTTGCTCTGTCACCTTTTAGCAATCCAAATGAGAAGTTCTAAGCTTGAAAGAACTCTTAGTATATTGACCGCCATCAGAGCGATGCACACACACACACACACACACACACACACACACACACACACACACTGCCGTTCTAATCCATTGGCCATCTAATTATTACTGACTGGCCACTAATTTCAGTATCCTACAAGTTTCAAAGCATTTACCAAAATATCACTTCTGTGGCATTGCAAAAAAATAATAATTAAATGGCTGTTTATATGTGCTGCTGCTTTTTATTTCATTTCCTACCATGCCCTGCTTTCAGGGTACCTTATGAATTCCTTTTAGATATTCTCTAGATGGGTCAATTAATACAGAAACAATTTCTAGCTATGTGGTTCTATGTAAAGAGGGGGGAAATGGATATTCTCATTTTATTAAATAAAATTTGCTGAGAATGAATCACACTTCTCTTAAGATGAAACATTTAATTTATTAAGTAAATTATACCCTTGTATCAAAACCAACAGTTTCATTTAAAGCTATATAACTAAATGTACCCATGTTATATCAAAAATGGATCATGTTGATTAAATAGCATTTGTTCATTACTGTCATAGGCTGAGAGAATATTCTCTGAAGTAAGAAGGATTGAAAACTACAGAGTAGAAGGCATGGAAATCTATTCAACCACATTGTGGCATCTGCAGAAAGATGTAGCTCTTTCAGTTCTTTCAAAAGACTTGACTGAGATGGATAAAAATTCACCAGAGGTATCATTTCTGGCTATTTTGAGGCAGGCATTTTTTTTTAACTACAGTTTAGCCTCTGATTCTTTCCTTCAATTTTAAATGAACAAATCTGAGGTTGAAATTACTTTTTCTTTGCAGACTCTTATGTGACTGAGCATTTAAATAGTAACTATTAGTTAATAGTAGTTTATTAATATTTTCTTCTTCCCCTTATTATACCACTTAAAAATAGAAAGAGGGAGAAATCATAGTTTTGTGGTGTATCTTCTACTTTTTCATTCTTCCAGGCATGGTGTGCTGCAGGAAATTGCTTCAGTTTGCAAAGGGAACATGACATTGCTATCAAGTTTTTCCAGAGAGCTATTCAAGTTGATCCAAATTATGCTTATGCCTATACACTCCTGGGACATGAATTTGTGCTGACAGAAGAACTTGAGAGAGCATTATCCTGCTTTAGGAATGCAATCCGAATGAATCCAAGGCACTACAATGCTTGGTGAGAAATACTTTTAATTAATAAAGATGGTGAAGCTTGGGAACATATTTACCCCTCAAAGTATTTAACAATCTCATTTCCCTCCCTGATATAACAGTTCTGGAGTAAAAAAATGGTTTACTTTTCTCTCTAATTTTCTATTGATAATTTCAGTCCAGTTTTCATAGATACACAGGTGTATACTTGTCTATTATTATAATATGTGGGTATCTACAGTTAGAATTATGGTCTAAGGCTGATGGAAACCTAATAATTCAAGTCCTAGCCAAGGGCCTAACTAAGGTAATGCTTAAGGATATAGGCATTCCAAGCAAAATGGAGTTTGTTGTGTAAAATTAGGGTGTTCAAGTCTGATAAATTCTAAATTTCCAAATACTGAGGCAGTACTTTGGGTATTATTCTAATGGCTTCAATCGTAATTGGTATAACAGAGGATTTCTTTTTCTATAAACATTCAAATACAATCCGCAAGTCTTAGTATCTTGGGTTTTTTCCAATTGCTTTTCCTCAATCTAGCATCACCTAGTATAGCAATATCAATGAATCAATTATTTTCAGTAATTGCTATATTAAGCATAAACAAGGTGACTATATGTTTGAATTTTAAAGTCCCATAGAATCTTAACCCATAGAACTCATTTTCAAAAACCTCGATTTGATGTTCTCCAGTCTTTGCTACTGAAATCTAAACCTCTGCCAAAGTTTCCAGTGAATAATTTTGGCAACTTAGTTGTGGTAGTGTTTATAGTCAGTTTGCGAAATTTTGCTGCAGCCACTAATGAAATGGTCGATTGTTCATCCTTTTTTCTAAAAGATAACATTTGCTGCTGTTTGGTACATGCTGAATTTTTTTGCTTTCATGCAATTACTTGGTAGTTCTTGAATTGCTAAAATAAAGCCTCAGTTTCTTTAACACTCCTGATCTTAACTGGTTCCATGTGGAATTTTTACCAGTTTCCTCTTCTATATCCTTCAAGTATTGACTGTGCATTGGCTTGAATCGGCTTTAAATTGTTTCTTTTCAAAATTCAGTCTTCATCTTTGTTTTCAAGAGTTGTCCTTGATTGATTTCTTTCAGGAATTTCCTTGGCTTTTCTTTATGTAGTCCTTCAAGCTATATTTTTCTTTCTCCAGTTTGTTCCACCTATGAAAGTCTTCTATCCTATTGGTTCTTGGCCAATACAACTAATTGATAATCACTTTTGGGATATAAAGCATGGCACATTCTCATCAGTTTTTTTCTGTCTGATCCAAATTACCAAGTTTCATCTGGGTCCAATCAATTATTCCCACAGTATATTGAATAACAGAGACCTTAATTGTTTTGAAGTTATTTCCACCATTTAGTTTTGATTTCAAAATTTTGCAAACTCATTTGTTATGTCTGGTTGTGCTTTCTGTGACTCGTGGAGTTCATCTGATTCAGTAGCACCTCAGGTTTTTTTAATCTTTGTTGATTGTTTTTGTACTATTTTTCAATTACCATTCCTACCCAATTATCTATCCAATTAATTTGTCTTCCATAGTGAGTTACATTTTATTCATTTCACATTCAACTTGTTTGATCCATGTTGCATCCCTACTATGACTCCTGTTGTTTTCCCACATGCTTGTCAATATGTAGCTTTGAATATTTTTCCTCAAAAATAAATAAGCAAGTATTTGACTCATTTGTTTAACTGGATCTGTTAATCTAATCTTAGAATTTGTGATTAGAACAAATCAAATTTTAGATTATGCAGAAATGTTGAAAATCCAAAAGAATTCACAACCTAAGTACTTTTATACATTAGATCAACTAGCCTTATAAACTAGTGTCTTTCTGCATTGCAGCCTTTAGTTCAGGAGTGTCAACCTCAAGGCGTCATGGCAGCATCACATGACATATCTGGACTTTTTTCCCTTTCACTAAAATGGGTGTGAGCAGCACATGACACATCGGCCTGTGGGCCAGGAGTTTGATAGTCCTGCTTTAATTGCTTGCTTCATATATATAAATTGATTGGAAACAAAATTGCTTAAGAAACCCTTTTCTAGATTTCAAGTCCTCTCAGTTTGGCCAAAGAGATAGGTAGATTTTCTGTTCGAACCAAGCTGACAGTTTGACCAAGTTGACACCGTTGGTGGATTCCCTTGCTTCTTTCTTGCTTTTCCTTCTTTATGCAAAACTTTAAGGATTGATAGAAACCAATAGTCTAATGGCTCTTCTAATCCTTTGAGGGTGAAATGTGGCAGAATTCATATCAATTTCACCAATGTAGATAAAGAAAGGGTCAGTGTTTCACTTTTCTCTACTTAATCTATTAAACATGCAAACAAATTGACAGTACTATATTTCCCTATTCTACTATTGAATTTAGATGTCTATGGAGATTCTCACTCATCCAGGTCATTGTTGTCCCAAAGGTACTTCAAAAAGGCAATTGGATTTTCTTGATATTTTTGAAGACATTTCACTTCTTATTGATTGGACTGAAGAAGGGACATACTGAATTCAGTAAAAACAATTAAAAATACAGTCAGTCATGGCAGGCAGCCCAGCACAAAATGGTCATCAGAGAATGGAGGCTTGGGAGAGGGACTTCTGGAAGGAGGGGGGTGCCCACCAATATACAGTATATATCAGCTACTTGAAATAATATTTGCACAATATGGAATAAAACACAGTAGGCAGAACAGACTGCTGTGATATTCTAGCAATTTGGAAATAGGAGACAGTCCTTTGTAGTGACTTCATTTTATTTTGCTAGTAAATGTCATATGGGTCCATCAGGAACAGTTGTGCCTTAAATGAGAGCTATTATATGAACTCTTCTAGGGCTTTATTCTCTCTTCAATGCCAACATAAAATCACTTATAAGACTGTCAGAGGATGTAGGACTGTTGAGACTGAGTATAGTCAGTAAGAATTAGTGTTGATAGGTAAATAACATTGCAGTTGCATTTTATTATCTTTTAATGTAAGAGGTAATAATTTCTTAATTATGTAGGACTGCTGCTATAGGTACATTTCATATATAATCTTGGACATTTTGACACTCTGATCATATCAAGAAAAGTCTGCATGTTAAATATCTAATAAGAGCTTAACTCGTGAAAAGAGAAGTGGTATATTAATATATTTATATAGAGCTTCCTTTCACAGTAAAAAAATACATAATAAAGAGTTTCTATAGAGTTGTTTCCTGATCTGGTCTGCCCCAAAGGGCAGACTGTATCTCACAGGCCTGATTATGTTTTACCTCCTCCCCTCCCTCTTATACCCCAATAAACAGGGAAGAAGTTGCCTAAGCCTTTTCCAATATTATCTAATTTTTCCACAATTTAAGCAGTGTTTCAATCCTCTTCAATCCTCAAGTTTTTGGCCATTTCCTTCAAGGACATCTCCCTGATTTTCCAGAGGCAGAATTCTAAGACACCTTAAGATGGTGTTTGTTTTTCTAGCTTGTGGTCAGCAAGGATACCCAGATCCTTTCCACGTGTATTATTGTTCCCCTATCCTGTATTTGTGCCTCTCCGTTTTCCAACCCAGATGTAGAACTTCCTTTAAATTCTTCTATTAATTTTAGTGCACTACTCAAGACTATCTAGATTTTCTTGAATATACTTCCTTTTATACTTTGGAATTATTACCCACACCTCCCAGTTTTGTGTTATTTGTAAACGTGATAACTATCCTGTCAACGTCTTTATCCAAATAATTCTGTTATCTACCCCATATTTTACTATCTTATTAAGATATATCTATATCTGCAAAATTCCTTTTTTGAATACAATTTTATTACGTTTCATAATAAAATAAAAATACAGAAAAACAAAAGTTAGAAAACTAAGAGAAAGAGAAAAGTGCAAAGAAAGAAAAAAAGTGGGGATTTCAGATTTTTTCAGTGCAGTAAAACATATACACGCACAAAAAGGTTGCCCTCAATCTTTTGCTTTACATTTCACATTTCAGGTCATTTCTATAATAACAAAATCTTTTTAAACATTAAAGCCTAAAACCAAAATTTCATTTTTTTTCAGTTTCAAGCAAAAAGTCCAGAAGCAGTTTCCAAGTAGAAACAAAATTAGATAAATTCTAATAAATTCTAAATTCTCTTTAATTAAAACAGTTTTGCCATCTTTACTAATTCCATCACCATTACCATTCACTCTTCCATTGTAGGAATTAATGTGTCTTTTCATATTTATGTATAAAAGATTCTTGCTGCTGTCAACTTAAAAATTCCCTTTTTGATTATAAGGCATGCAGTCCCTCCTGATTTTATTTTTTCTAATTAAAAAACCCAGAAAGTTTGGTGTTATGTATACTGTACTATAATATTGCTTGTGACAGTGTTATTGTATAAACAAGAAAAAGTAACTTGAGATGAAGAGAAAAAGTCTCCTGAAGTCTAGAAAATTATAGGTCTCTGTGATACTTGTATTTTTCACTTGATGTGTTGATTCTACGGGTGTATTAGTAAAGTTTTTAATATATCTTTCATGTATTACTACTATCCGCATAGAGTTTGGATTGCATTCTTGTTTTGTATTTAAATTTTTGCCTCAACAATTTATCTTTCATGAAATTATAGCTACATTCCTATCAAACAGGCAACAAGCAGTTAAAATTGGAAACACTATATCAAACCTTGCACCAGTTAACAGTGGTGTTCCCCAAGGCAGCGTTCTAGGACCAACACTCTTTCTGCTTTATATAAACAACCTTTGTGATCATATTATAAGCAGCTGCGTCCTCTTTGCCAACGATGTAAAACTATTTTAACACCACAGATAATTCTACTACCCTACAAAAAGATCTAGATTATGTATCTGAATGGTCAAACAATTGGCAACTCCAATTCTCCATTGTGTGGTGATGAGAGGTGCCAGGCTGGGTTATTCTAGGCTCTAGCTCTATGGACTAAGTTGAATCTTCTGAGGTTCTGCCTCCTTGGTGATGTTCTTCAGTTTTTTCAACTCAGTCTCATCTTATGGACGCATTTTCCTTTGCTCCAGAGCTTTAGAGCTGAGCTTGGAATAATTTCCTGGACACTTCATTTATTTTTCTTTCCTTATTTGCCTTGTTTTCTTTGCAGCTGGGGAGGGCTCTCCGTGGCTACGGATTGGAGCTGGGGGTGGTGGCCCATTCCGGCGCCTCCCACCCTCCCCATCCCCCACAGGTACCTGGACTGGTGTTTTGGGGTGCTGCCTTGCAGGGCCTCGCCCCGGTTATTGCGGCTGGCCTCCACTGTGCCGGAGCGCCTAGAACTGAGCTGCTGGAGCCACACCAGCCTCCTCAAGCCTTGGCGTGGTTTTCCTTTGCTCTGCGGGGACTAGTCAACTGTAGAGCGGACTCGCTCCTTTGCTGCTGGCTACTTTCCGGAGCTTTCACTGCCGCGCCAGCCTCTTGCAGCCTGGGCGGGGCCCGTTTTTACTGGGCAGTTAGTTGAGCACTGCGGCGCACAACTGTGGCAGAGCCGCCAGACTGCGCTAACTTTCCCTAGCCTGGCGCGGTCCCCGTTTGCCTAGATTTAGTCACAGTGGCCTTATTTCCTGCGCTTTTCATTTGTGGCTTCTAGTCCAGGCGGCTTCGCTCCTCCGGCATTGCTGTGTTGCCCCAGGGCTAGTAGGGTTAGGCTAATAAATGCTCAGCCCTACACATTGGCAATAAAAATCAGAACATCAAATACAAGCTGGGTGGAAACGATCTAAAAAATGACCCACACTCTGTGAAGGACCTAGGAATACTCATTTCAAAAGATCTAAGCCCCAGAGCTCACTGTAACAACATTGCTAAAAAGGCATTAAGAGTTGTCAACCTTATTTTATGAAGTTTTCTCTCTGGTAACGCTATACTTCTAACTAGGGCATACAAAATCTTTTTCAGACCTATCCTTGAATACTGCTCACCTGCCTGGAACCCACACTAATACATTAGAGAGGGTCCAGAGGTATTTTACAAGAAGAGTGCTCAACTCCTCTGCTCGCAATAAAACTCCTTATACCACCAGGCTTGAAATTTTAGGCCTGGATAACCTTGAACTATGTCATCTACGTTCCAACCTAAACTTAGTACACAAGATTAACTACCATAACATCCTACCTGTTAATGACTTTTTTAATTTCAACCACAATTACACAAGGGCTATCAATAGATACAAACTAAATGTAATCCACTCTAATCTTGATTGTAGAAAATACGACTTTAGCAATAGAGTAGTAAATGTCTGGAACACTCAACCTGATCCTGTTGTTAGTTTCTCTAACCCCCATACCTTTTACCTTAAACTGTCTACCGTGGACCTTACATGTTTCTTAAGAGGTCCCTAAAGGGGCGTGCATAAGCGCACCAGTGTGCCTACTGCCCCTGTCCTACTGTCCCCATTTATATGTACTCATTTTATGTGTTTATGGCTATGTTTTGCTTATTTATTTATTTGTGCCATTTTTTCATATGTCTATGTCTACTACTGATACTTGTTTCCTTGTACTTGTTGACAAAATAATTAAATAAATAAATAAATAAAATTGATGTTTTGTAATTAACTATATCTATCATAGCAGACATTTTGCAAAATAAATCATTAAGCTCTCCTAAATAATATGTCAATTTGTCTAGAAAGCTGAGTGTTTCTCTTTGATCTTTAGTAGTAATATTATTTGTTTTTGTTTTCAATGCTAGGTATGGATTGGGGATGATTTACTACAAGCAAGAGAAATTCAGCCTTGCAGAAATGCATTTCCAAAAAGCACTTCAAATTAATCCTCAGAGTTCTGTCTTGTTGTGCCATATTGGAGTTGTAAGTAAATCACATCTAATACAGGTTTGATGTATAATATGAACATTGACCAGCATGGGGTTGAATATATATAGAAAATGACTTTTTTTTTCCAGGTTCAGCATGCTCTGAAGAAATCTGAGAAAGCTTTGGATACACTGAACAAAGCCATTAACATTGATCCCAAGAACCCCCTCTGCAAATTCCACAGAGCCTCAGTATTATTTGCAAATGAGAAGTACAAAGTGAGTAACGAATTTGAAAGGAACTAAACTTGAGTTTTTTTGGAAAGCAACAGTTTTTTCCTTTGGGAAAACTGAATACTAGCCATATCCATTTAAGCCAATTGTAAAATGCATACAGAACAATCATAAATATATTTCACATAGTTTAGTAAGATTTATTCCACAGAACATTCTTTGCAGCCTTAGATTTTGAGGACCGTAAGAACACTTTGCTGGTGATTCAAAACTTTGTTCCACTGCTCCAGGAGAGCTACTTGCTCGGTCAAAAGGAGTATTGCTCAATATCATATTGATTTATAGTTAAACATTATTCCTAATTTGAGAAAGGGAATACTAGTATAATAATCCTAAATAAAAAGTAGTTTCATAGGAATCATTTTAAATCCCTGCAATCAAAATATAATAATGATTTTTTTTATTCTATTAGGATTTTAGTCAGCTGACCAAGTATCTGAAACTTTTCCAGCAGTTCATTAATTCTATCTTAGTTATAATCATTATGACTTTCTGTTTGTTGCCACTTCATTTTTTGAATATTTTTACAACTTCTAGATTTACCTAAATGATAGAGAAATGGAATATATCTTTTATTCAAGAATTTCCTGAATTCCTTGATCCATTATTATAACTCAAATTTGGGAGTGAACAGTAAACTAAACTCCTGGTTTTCTAGGTTCATTGTAATTTTTCAAATTGTACAGGAAGTCCTCATTTAGAAAGTACAATTGGAACGGGCAACTCCCATCACTAAGCACTGCAGTTGTTAAGCAGAAAATCACATTACTATGATGGGCTTACAATATCATTTTCTCATTGGTCATTAAGTGAATCATCAATCATTAAGTGAAACATCACATAACTGTCCCTTATGGCTTTAGTTCTACATTCCCTATTAACTTTAGATATCGCAAACCAGTTGCAGAGCACCTAAATGGCAATCATACAATTGTGGGATGTGGTGATGGTTGTAAATGTGTGAAGTGAAGCACCTAAATGGCAGTCCCATGACTGCAGACGCTGTAATGGTCATAAACATGTGGATTGTCTCAACTCTTTTTTACACCATTGTAACTTCAGTAAACAAGGCAGTCAGTAATCAAAGTCTACCTGTGTACCACAACAAATATATTTGTCAAACAATATCAAAGCATCATACATGAACATTAAAATTGACTTTATTGTATTGAATAGACCTTTTCATTGATAGATATATTTAAATCATATTACTGCAGTCTCTTGAAAAAGCTACTGTTTTTTTCTTCCTTTCAGTATGCTTTGCAAGAACTTGAAGAACTGAAGCAAATTGTTCCCAAAGAGTCTCTTGTTTACTTTTTGATAGGAAAGGTAAAAACAATTTTGAGTATTATTTTCTAAATGATTGCTGTAAAAACATAACAGATTAATGTTGATAATAATATTATGCAATGCTCACCAAATGTACTGTAATGTGTTTCAGCAGTACTGTCCACTGTGGTGACCAATCATTTCTCCTCCTAACTTTGAAATCATCTCTCGGTCCCATGTACAATTGTGGAGAAAGTATGGGAATGGTTCAGCATTTACGCTGCCTATCTGGTTGTGCAGGCTGATTGTATAGGCTTGTTATGGCATTGCTTTACAAAACAAAAGACTGGGAGGTGAGGTTTGTTTGGAAAATTGACACAATTGATTTATCAATTGGGACCACATAATAGGTAATGGGCAATTCTTGAGACAGCCTGATTCCTTCAAGTTGGAAAGATTTTTAAAGACAAACCTTGGTGTTTTAAATTGAACCCAAAAATAGACTAGAATACAGTGATGTTATTCAAGAACCTATAGTGAACTATGAAAATAATCTTGAAGAAGAGGAGAAAGAGCCACAGTCTTTATCATAAAACAAGTCAAGGGACATTGGGACATTTATTAACAAGATAAATCTCAACCCAGGCAGGAATTGAATTCGAGAAAGTATCTCAGTTTGGACACTCACTAATTCTTTTTAGGATAAAGACGGGAAGGAGAAAGGCATATTCAGACTTGCAAGATTCTGTTACTATAACCCTGTGATAAAAATAGTTATAACATTCATGATTTTGGTGTACAGGTCTGGTCTACTTCAGTGAGATATTTTCCCTACTTCAATCCTACTTAGCAATGCAGAACTCTATTTTCAAATTAAATATGAATTATGATTAATATTTAAAGACAATCTCATATATAATGTGTACTGTGTTCTTCCTTATTTTAGTGGGTTGGTGGGAATTATAACCTCATCCAGAATTGATTGGTACTGGGTACCAGTGTATAATATTAGTATTCTTCACTAGATATAGCAATCTCTCTCCATTTTTGGCATGTTTGATTTTAAAAAATATTTTTATTGTTTATAATCTTTGAGAGGAATAAGTGCCATTTAGGGGTATGACAGATATCCTGGTAGATATCTGCCTACAAACTGTAAGTAAAAACTACCTACAAAGAGCACTACCAGATATAAAATATATGAAGTAAAAATTCATACCAGGTTAAGTATACCTTTTTTTAAAATTAGGTTTATAAAAAGTTGGGGCAGACCCATCTTGCACTGATGAATTTTTCCTGGGCAATGGACTTGGATCCCAAAGGCGCTAACAATCAGATCAAAGAGGCCATTGACAAGCGGTACCTACCCGATGATGAAGAGCCTGTAACACAAGAAGAACAGATCAGTGAATGCTGTCCATATGAGTCAGGTTGTTTTTTTATATTGGCTGTTTTATTTGTTCTTCTCTTGAGGTAAAAAGAGATACCTTCTATTTGGGTAATTTGAAAATACTGTCATAGCAACAATCCTGACATTTACCACTGCTGCTATGTTATATAGCATAGACCCTAGTTTTGTGCAGGTTTCTTACAGTCACTGTATCTCATGATTAGAAATAATTGAAAATGTTTCTTTTTTTTTTTTTAAGTCTGAAAAGAAGTTATGAACATTAAGTGCCCCCATCCTCTCTATAGCAGGCAAATTTATTTGAATATAATAACATCCTTTTTCTTGTTATTCTTCTCTTTGCCATTCTTAATTAAAACAATTGTAAAATAAATATTTATTTCAGCAAACGATAAAAATTAAAGTTCCTTGAATAAAGCTTAATTCTTGCTGATTTCATGGATGTACCGTGTTTCCCCGAAAAAAGACAGGGTCTTATTTTCTTTTGGGCCTTATTATCGGGCCTTATTATCGGGGGGCCTTATTATTTCGGGGGTGTAGGAGGCCTGGGCGGCCTGTGCACTCACAGCCGGGAGTCTGGCAGAGAGAGGCTCCCTTAATGCGCCATCAAGCCCCTCCCCTCCCGCGGGATGTGTGTAGAATACGAGCAGCCCGAAGGCACCAAGCTGCGTGAGTGTTTATCCCCACCCCCCACTCACGTGCCTCCCAGGCCTCACCACATTGATGTGGGCAAAGCCGCTGAGCACCAGGTCTTGAGCTCATAGCCAATGCTGCCGGCGCCCACCACCAGCGCGGAAGCCACAGCCTGGGCCAGCTCTCCCTGCAGGTTCCAGTTCCAGCCGTCACCATAGAATGGGAAGCACACTCCCAGAGCGGCTGCTGTCCTGGCTGGGGTTTGGAAGCCACAGAGGCAGAGTTTGGGGGAGAGAAAGAAAGACTTCTGCTGCTTTCGTTGCACGCAGCCAAAAGCAGAAGCAGAAGCAGAAGCAGAAGTCTTTCTTTCTCTCCCCCAAACTCTGTGGCTTATAAACCCCAGCCAGAGCAGTGGCCGCTCTGGGAGTTTGCTTCCCACTCTATGGTGATGGTGGCCTGAGGCCTCCCCTTCCCCCCCTGCTCCTCTCCGCTCCAATTGCCCAAGCACTGACTGACCGGAGCACCCACTGGTGAGCCTGCAGGTCCAGTTTACTCTTTCCAGGTGTCCAGCAGCAAGACGCCGGGCAGCTGCATCGAGGGCAGCGCCGACAGACACAGCTCGGCTGGCCCAGCCATGGCCAACACTCCTCGCTTGTGGCTGAGCTTGGCTGCCAGTGGCTGCCCTGCAAAGGAAGCCCTGGGGCAGCGATGCTTGCACTGGGGCTACTGGGTTGGGCGCTCGGTAGCACAGGCTATGCGGACACGGTGCCTGGGTGGGGGCGAGAGCGGGTGGCCCGCTACTATGGCACAGGAGTAGGCGCTTGAGGTTTAAGGTCAGTGCCACGGGCAGTGAAAGGGGCAGGGGGTGCAGGAGTTTGCAGGGATGCTTGGGTTTATTTTCAGGACATGGCCTATTTTGGGGGAAACACGGTATCCATGAGGTCATCTTGGGAATGTTACAGAAATGGTTGCCACTGGAAAGAACATTTTTTTACTTTCCAGTCTAGGCTATAGCCCTGGTGTTTTCTGTGGTCTTCTCTTCATGTATTAACTAGGATCAGCTTTGTTTAGCTTTTTGAGATCAGCCAAGTTTAGCTGGGTACAGCTATGTAGCTGGGCATGCAAATTATAACACTTTGGACAAGTAAAGCAATCTGATCATTGCTTAATAGGAACCTATCAAATAAAAGCAGCACCAGAGCTGTCTGAAGTATTAATCTCCTAAAAGGAACTCCTATCTTAAGTTTTCGCATAAGGCTTTAATAAATAATACACAACATTCAAGCCCAACACTACCAAACTTGAAAAAGTTAGAATCATTAGTGCTTCTCCTTTAAAAATTGGCATCTTTAAAAATTTAGGGGATGATCATTTAAGATGGGGATATGTAACTTTATGTCAGTCTGAAGATTTTGTGTGGCCTGCTAAAGGCATTTTAAAAGTGGACTTGGTGAGGATTCACTTGGAAAGAGGGTTGAAGAGTTTAAAAGCATGAGATGGGTATCCTAAGATTTGCAAATATTAAAATACCTTTTTGCTGTTTAAACTCTTGACTTTAAAAATGGAAAATAAAAATAGTTTGTAATGCTTGGCTTTACCCACTTGAGAGGGATTCTGGTGGTACAAAAGGGATGATGGTAGATCATATATGATTACCCCTGTATTTTTTTTTTCAGTTCATGTAAGAGGTATAGGAAAAAAAAACTATAGTTGCTGGGCTTTCTTCCCCTGTCACACTAGAAAATCAGCTATGAATCCAGAAATACTAATTAGAATTTGGCTTCTCTGATGTGATGTAATATAATGTCCAGAGTCTTGGTTTAGGGCAAGAAAAGCTTAAGAGTAATTCCAAAACAAATCTAATGCTACTTTCCAAATGTGCTACTATGAAGTTATATGGGGAAGAAAGAGAAAGAAGGAAGGGATAAAACTGTAATAAGTTAATCATCCAGGTAGCCTTAAGCAAGCTATTAGCTCCCCCACCACAAGGTTCACATTGTGGAGATTATGAATCTAACCAGTTTTACAGGTTGATTGTGTAGTTTATAACAAAAATAATTTATGGTGAAAATAATTTACAATTCCTGTGCTGCCTAAATGCTAAATGCCTGGTCTAATTACTACATATATCAAAACTATTTAAAAAACTGCATTATAGAATTGGACCTGAAACTATCTATATAGATTGAATTCAAATAGGACCAGCTCACTCAAACACAATTAATTCTGGTTCTAAGGTTTTGCACATAATTTTGGGAATTGCATAGTATTTGAGCCTTGAAAGAAAAGAGTATATTTTGAATGCATGATTATATATAATTCTCCAAAAACTGGGTTGGAACAATGTATAAATAAGATATAGAAAGTATAATGGAAAACTAGTCTTCCCATAGAATGTCACCCTTATAGCTTGTGAAATATGCAAATAATATAAATAAATCTTATTCTTGTGTATTTTTCTTTTCAAAAGTTGGCACAGATGAGTCTCAGGCCAGTAGCATGACTGACGCAGATGACACACAGCTTCATGCAGTAGAAAGTGATGAATTTTAACTCCCAAGTGGATTCTGAGTTTGGATGTTTGACTGACTCATTCTATTGGATTCTTCCTTTCCCTTCCTGCCGCAGAGCCAGCATTGTTCTAATGCTCCACTGATACCCCAGGCGCATCATTCATCAGATTTTAATTAATTCTGAATTAATGGCAGTGTATTTGGGATCATAATTTCAGTCTGAATTATTGACTTCATCTTTTTAAACATGATTCTTCAAGGAGGAAATACTTTTTCTAAAATCTCCTTTTTGTTGACAAACCTATCATGGAAGATGAAATTTGCTGTACAGGAACTGGGAGATATGGGAAAGTAACTGATGAAGCAGTTACTTGCTCTGTCCCCAAAAGAGTCTTAGTTTGGCTCTTTCCAAGAAGCAGAGACCTGCGCTTCTCCATTCCACACTCTTCAGAGATAATTGTGGAAGTACAGGACTGGAATGTGTTGAAGACATTTCTGAATATTATTTGAGTGTAAATTAAATGCCAGAAAATATAAATGACCTTAAAATGAATTTTTCTCTTGTGAACGCTTTACAGAAAATATAAAATCCAGTGTCCCTCCTTTAGATTTATCAACTTGCCAGAATAGAGACTTCCACAGAATACATTAGTATTCCACCAAGAAGTTAACTTCATCAGGCTAACTTCCAAAGCATCAGTTGTTTGTATTTGTATACCATTCAGCTCAATAACATGATGTTGCTCATCATGTGCTCTTTGCAATTGCACCTGACAGTTCGAAAAAAAATCAAAATGCTGTTGCAATTATTAATTCCTAGAAAAGAAATAAATGTGTAGATTTGCAGTGTTGAAAAATGCAATGAAATAAATTCACAATAACAGAATGCCAAGATGACAATGGAAGCCTTAATCCAATCAAACCTTACAATGGTGGTTCATCCCCCATCTATTTACAGCAGTGACCCCTTCAAAAATTATTTTGTAAAGTGTTGTCTGAATGAACAGATGCAAAAAAAATTGTGCAATTATCTGTCTTTTGGGAGGGGGGGTTGGGTTAGGGTTTTTTTATCCTGTAAGTTTTGAGTACTTCCTCTATAATGTCTTGTAGGAATATAGACCCCCAGATGGTTATTTCTCTGAGAAAAGAAGCTAGGCTGTATTAACAAAGCCAGTTTTCTCCTCCTTTGTAGCATTTCTGCAACAAAGGTGGTTGGCTTTTGTGCAGTGACCATCAAGAAAGTGTATGATAACCTTACAGTTCTAAAGAGAAAATTATGCACAATAAAATGGTTTAAATTTGATAAAATTGTATTGTGGTAAGTTTTTGCAAATTTTATTTTAGTCTATTTTTATAAGGCCTTCATTAATGCATATTAATACAGACACGATTAAATACCAGCTCTTTGGTAGCTAAAATGCGAACATCACATGCTAGAGGGGGTAAGAGCAGAGAGGTAGAAACATCAGGGCTTCTGCATGGTTTTTTTTAAGGGGTCACTACAACTTACCCAAAATCCAGGCTAATGAAGATGCCATCTGAGGAGTGGTAACGTGAAAAAGAATGGAAGGACTTGAAAATCAGACAGTGAATATTTCACCTTTTATTCCCTTTGTTAATGGAGCCTACAAAAGCCAATAGAGTCCTAGCTGCATTAACAGAGGGATGGAATCAAGATCATGTGAAGTGTTGGTACCATTTTATAATATCTTGGTAAAACTGCGATTGGAATATTGCATTCAGTTTTGATTACCACAATATAAAAAAGATATTGAGACTCTAGAAAAAGTGCAGAAAGAGCAACAAAGATTATTAGGGAATGAAGCTAAAACAACAACTTGGTTGCAGAAATTGAATATGTCTAGTTTAATGAAAAGAAAGTCTATGGGGACATGACAGCAGTATTCCAATAGCTATTCTCCAAAACAACTTAAGGCAGGACAAGAAGCAATTGATGGAAACTAATCAAGGAGAGAACCAACTAGGAGAAATTTCCTGACAGTTAGAACAATTAATCTGTGGAATAACTGCCTCTAGAAGTTGTAGGTGCTCCAACACTGGAAGTTTTTAAGAAGAGATTGTCTGAAATGGTATAGGGTTTCCTGATTGAGCAGGAGGTTGGACTAGAAGCCCCACTTCCAACACTGTTATTTTGAGAGTAAATTTGTATTTGACTGTAATTATACTTCACTGTCCTTTCCCTATTTAACTGACATTCAAGTCCCATTCACCTACTAAATATATAGCTAGTAAATTACCAATAAAAGTTACAATGGAGTTTTTTAAAAAATACTTATGACCTATAAAATTTTATGAGTAAAAACTTGTTTCCCCCTCCAATGGTCATGTGTTTGCATTCCAGGTGTCCAAAACTTATGACCAGTTCCATGTCCTGCACTCACATGTCTACAATTTGCAATATTTTTTTGCTGTTTCCAGCAAAAAGATGCCACATAATGTATAAGTGGATGCTTATACATGTCTAATCTGAAACAAGGCTCTCTTCAGATCCAGCAAATTGGGACAGATATGGCCAACCTTTCTTTTTGATTTTTGATAATGTAGTGGAACTACAGTTATATAGACTATCATAGGTGGAATGGATTATTCATATCGTTTTCAGTCAGGATTCAAAAATCAATGACTAGGACAGAAGCTTCCTTCATGGATTACCTACATTGAGACATGGATTGGGGAATGTATCTTTCCTGGTCATTTTTGATACTTGCCAGATAATTCAATAATTATATCTTTCTAGATTGTTTTTGGCCCACTCTAGAGATGTAATCTCTCATTCGTTCCTTTATTTTTCCTTTCAGTTATGTTCAATCCTTGACAAGTCCCTAAGGTTTTCTTGGCACATTTTTTAGAAGTGATTTGCTATTGCCTTCTTTCTAGGGCTGAGAGAAACTGACTGAACAAGGTCATCCAACTACTTTCATGCCTAAAGTGTGACTATAATTCAGTCTCCCAATTTCTAGCCTGATGCCTTCACCACTACACATATTGGCATTCCCAGTTAGGTGATAATGGAGGAAATAAAAAATCATCCAAATGGTTACTAATTTGGTATATTGCAGGGTTTGTCTCTTATTATTTAACATCACCAAGAAGTTGCTGGGACAGTTAATTGGTTTAGAGTATGGTAAGATCAATATGCTGATGATATATAATGCCATTGAGGATTGATTCAGGGAGTTGTTACCTATTGTCTGGAGGTTGCTAGGGCCAGCATAGGAGGAAACGAGAAAAACTGAATCCATGATAGAGATCTGTTTTTCAGAAACTCTGGCATCCAGAGACAACTCTGGATGGGAAGATTTCATTATCTATTGAATTTATACAGTTTTTCAACTCAGCAAATGACTCTGGATGGCAAAAAGAATAAAAATACAAGATTTTGCAAATAATACAAAAGTTAAAATACAAAGCAGTTGAGAAGCAAATACTAATACAGTAATACACTAATACAGCCAAGCACATCCCTGCACAGTTGCAGGTTCCAAGCTTAAGATTCTTCCATGACATGACATAAAATGCACTCCTTACTTATTTGCATGTGACATGAAAAGAGAGAGAGTGTGTGTGTATTATACATTTTCCTCATTTTGGCATCATGGCTAGCTGTGAATGCCTATGTCTCCAGAGAAAATGTGTGGTCAAGGCCTGGCTCAAGAGGATGAAAGTTGTGATTCAGGTAAATTTTCATTACAAGCAGAGCCTTTCCTAGGTATAATTCTCCCTTTCTTATAGTATTCAGGAAGCTCCAAGGTGTTCTTGTGAAAGAATGTGAATTCTCAGAAGTGTAAACAAGAAAGGGGACAAGATCTTGGCTTAAATGCCATATGATGTTATTGAATTGCAACTATCCTGTTTGTTTCTAATATCCCCACAGCTCCTCAACTTAAATTATGATATATAATCTTCAATACAGATTTACAATTTAAGCTCAATGTTTCAAAAATGGGGAGGGATTTTCTTTTGATAGTTATCAAAAGGCGATTGAAAGCATGTCAGTTATGCAAACTAAATTTTGGAGAACTTGCTGTGCAAGATAGCTTAGTATAATTTTCTTGTGATCAGAGTCAGAAATCCATGATATTAGATGAAAGGAGAATGCAATTTTACAATATTGTTTTTTAACAGTAGAAATCTAGTGACACAATATAGCTAGCAATGGAATAGACACTGATAACTTGAGCAATTAGGCCATTCACTAACCAGGTTCACCCATAAGCCATAATATGGTTTGTTTGGTTTTGGTTGGCTGTTGTGTATACTCAGCCAATTGTACTTCACTCAATAATCTACATTTTATGCCATCTTGACTCCTTGAATTTCTTAGTTAATGGATGAGAATGCTTCAGTAATATGTCATATGTAGCTATTCCATTTGTTCTTACTATTAGGTCTAAATGTAGTTATAAGACAATCCCTGCAGCCACTTTTAAGTGACTTGGAAGAACATTAAATTGTTATAGGAAAAACGGGCTAGGCCAAGCTCTTCAATGCAGGAAAGAGTTTATTGCGCAAGGTTCAAACAGTCCAAAAGGTCTGAACGCCGATGGCTTCTTCTGGCCATGTATTTATACAGTTTAAAGGCAAAATTATTACAGAGAGTGATGCATTTCACACGTAGAAGCTGTCCTTTCATCTATCTCTGGGAAAGGAAATAACAATCTTCTTCTCACATACTCAGGTTCTCTGCTCCGGCGCTCAAGACATAACAAAAGGAGATAAGAGGCTAGGAGACGCCTCAAGGGCAATAAGGAAGCAGCACCCCTTATCCAGGGATATGCATGACATTTGGGATGCAATAAACATTAAACAACAGAATGTATCTGTTTAGGGTCAGTTTGCCCTTTTACAATTCTGTACCTACGTCAAATACCGTTTGTCATCTCAGCACCTTGGCACAGAAGAGGCACTTCTGTCTTGACCAAAGATTTGGATTTCTAATATTTGAGTTTTATCCCAATATCAAATCTTAGCCTGGCTCATACCCCCCTTTGTGACTCATCTGTTTATCCAGACGAGTCACACCATAGGTCCTCTTCCTGCTGGAGCCGTTTGTAATCCCACATAGCCATCACCTGAGCAGTTGTCTTACGTTCCACCAGCAAGGATAGACTTTTAGAAATAGTCTTAACAAACAGAGGTAAGAGACATAGGAGAAAAATACACCCTACAGCTATTAATCCTACCAGGCCAAAAATGGCCTGCAGGCCAGGTAACTTTGGCCACCATCCTGAAAACATGTCCTGTAAATTAAGACCTTTCCAAGTCTGGACTGGCACATGAGCTATTTCAACCATTTTGTCTGTTATTTCCTTAATAACTTTTCCTATTGCAGATGTGTCTACATGTCTTCTTTGTCTTATACTTTGTCTTTGTCATCATATACCGGGACACCTAAAACCTGTCGAGTTTTAAGGGGAAGCAAAAAGAATCCTGGTCCAATTATTCCCAGGACACAAGCTCCACACCAAGATTTCGGTAGAACCCCATATGCCATTTTACCATATATCCAGTATAGTCCATCAGGAGCCAGCCATTCAAGGGCCTGATTATCTGGATCCTTTAAAAAAAAATAACCCGTTTACCTTAAACAGGGCCATTTCATCAGTTCCCTCTGTGGCATTACCTCCTGACCACCATACCTTACTTTCCCATTTTCCTGTACATATGAGGTTTCCTACCTGATGACAGCCTGCCACAATTTTTCTCTGGAAACAGACATTCCTTACCAGACTAGTAGTCAATGTCCAGTCTCCATCCTTACCTTTATTATATGACAGGTTACCTTTCTGATCCATTTCTAAGACTTTGGAATAATTTAATTCCTGGGCTTCCCATGGCCATTTTTCTCCCATGTTAGTTCCTCCACATACAAAACAATTTGATACATTCAGAGTGTGGGCTATGTCTTCTGCCAATTTGACAAAGGTATTTGTTACATAGCTAGGGATTTTGGGTATATTCAGCTTTTCCATTTTCAGATAATATTACAAGGGGACTTCTTCAGGATTTATTACCAAATAATGTACTAGCACCTCCTCTATAAATTTCACGTCCCACTCTACCTTACAGCTTATACATAAAACACAATCAATACAGTGAGTGCAACAACAACACTCACACCCACAATTACAAAACCAACACATTTAAAGAAAATTCTCTTTTCTGTTCTTTTGCATCAAAAGGCAGCTTCCAGGGTGTCCTAAGCAGGGACTTCTTTCATCTGTAAGAGGTTCACACTCCGCAGCCGGTTGGGGAAATATTAGGGATCGGAACGACTGAGAAATCAAATGGGCCCTGGTTGTCCACAAAACCATTGCTTATATCTGTAAAACACAATAATCAATAAAGCTACTACCCCAATTACTCAAAGTGCCCACACCCAATTTTCCTCCCACACGAATCCGCAATGATCTTCAATCTTTCGTCAGGATCCAAGTTCCGGACTAATTCAAGAGAGCAGGTGCTCCATCCTCTTTTTTTTTTTTTTTTTAGCTTACAGCGGGTTACATCGGCAGATATACATCAAGGTAACCTATATATAAAATACAAAAGCTTTCTTTAAGCACATTCAAATGTCAGTTTTGTTGGATGTTGTTTGTCCACGGACAGTTTCCAGCCAGTGTCAGCTGCTGCCTTGACTCGTGTCCGATGGATCCATGATTTTGATTCTGCAATCTTAATAGCAAGTGGAGAAGTCATAATACCAATAAAAGATCCCTTCCATCTTCCACTTGGTCCCCAGGTTCAAATGAGTGACATTAAGTTACTAATCTAGGGGGGACTTGTTCCATCACATATTGTTGGAATCTCTCAATTTGCTTATTAAGTTCTTGTACTATCTCCATATTCCAACCCCCCCCCTTTATGACCTAAATCAGGCCACCTAACATACATATTTACCTTATTTTACCATATTTACATGGTCGGGTGGAATAAACCTCCAATACCTGTAAACAATCATGCTCAGAAACAGACTCCGTAGGCAACAAAGTTGCTGGATTTAATTGGTCAGACGCACCTGTGGATTCTCACTCCTAATTGCCTGATATTTTGTCAGCCTTTGCCCACTAATCCACAAATGTCCCTTAGTATCCAACACAGACTGCTCCTCATGAGGGGAGTGCATGAGTATAGGACAAGAAAAAGTAAGTTTATTACAATTCTGAATCAATTCTACACTTGCAGCCAGCACCTTCAAACAGTGGGGCCAGCTTTTTGGCCCCTGTTTTCCACTCAAGAGGTTCCACATTGGCTCCTTTGGTGGCTGCATACAAAAGTGCTGCCATCAAAGCAAAGTTACGGATCCAATTACGGCAAAAGCCAGCTAATCCTAAAAAGCTTCTCAGTTGTCTTTTTGTTCGGGGTCCTGCCAGCATTAGGACCGCCCTTTTCCGCTCTGGTCCTAAAGCTCGATGACCCTTATATCGTATCCCAAATATCTAACTTTCCTTTTCACCAATTGAGCTTTCTTTCTTGATACCCAATAACCACACTCTAATAACAAATCTAGCATTATCGTGCATTCATCTTAGTATTATCCCAACATAAATCCTCTGTCAGTCCTGTTGATCCAAACATCATCAACATATTACAGTATTGTGTCTCCTGGTTGTTGAGGCACATAATACTGTAAGTCTCTAGCTACCGCTATTCCAAACAATGTGGGGGAGGTCTTAAATCCCTGAGACAGCCGAGTCCCAGTATATTGCATTTTCATTCCTGTATAAGGATTCTCCCACTCAAAATGCAAACAGTGGCTGGCTTACGGGGTGAATGGGAATTGTAAAGAATGCATCCCTTAAATCAATAACAGAAAACCACTCAGCCCGGGGTGGAATTAAACTTAACAGGGTATATGGATTTGACACGGCCGGGTATAAAGTTACCGTGCCCCGGGCGGTAAGACCCATCTGACTGTTTAATTGGGATAATTGGAGTATTCCAGGAGGACTAAATAGGCACCAAAAACCCCGCTTCCAAATCTCTGAATGCTTTCATAAATAGCACAAATAGCTTCCCAAGAAACGGGACGCTGCCTTATACTCACAGACGCCACTCCAGGTTTTAGTTCCACCACCACTGGAGGGTGGTGAGCTGCAAAACCCGGCAGGTTATCCTCAGCGCACATCAAACAACCTCCAAATCTCCTCCAGGGAATGCCTTATAGTCATTTTCTGACTGCCTTCATCAAAAGAAATTGTTGCCCCTAATTTGCTCAGCAGATCCCTGCCTAGCAACGGAACAAGGCACTCAGGGATGTACAAAAATTCATGCTGGATTTCAGCTCCTTTAAAATCACACATCACAGGCTTTAGGATCTGCCGTCCCATAATCTGTCCTGATACCCCCTGAACCTGGATTTTACGTGATCCAGGGGCTGCAATCTGCTCATTTACAACTGATCTTCCTGCTCCCATATCTACCAGAAACGTTCTGTACTGACCCCCTATTTTCATTGTAACTAATGGCTCGGGGGGGTTCTTCCAAGCCTGGTCCCCCTCAATCTGACCAAGTCATGTCTGCCAATCCAATACTTTCCGCTTTCTGCTGCCCTGCGCCCTCTCCAAATCCTCTACCAAAACCCCAACCTGAACTTGTCTGTCCAACCTTCTACTCAAACCTCTCCTCTGTCCTCGCTCTCCCCTTCTCCCAGAGAGCTGCCCACGCATCCCTGACCCAAAATCCGCTCTTCTCATCCCTCTACTTCTCACCATCTGTCTTGGGCATTCCTTTTCCCAAGTAATTTTATTTCTATACCACCCTTCTCCCGAAGGACTAAGAGGCTTCACAGAAAGAGGAGGAGGGGTGGGGGGGTGAGAAGGAGAAAAAAAATTTTTTTTAAAGCATCTCTTTTCCTCACTACGAAGTGGGATGCAAGGGGGGGAGAAAAACCCCCTTGCATCCCACTTCGTAGTGCCCCTGCCAACAAACCAGCCTTTTTATTCATCCGTGCCTCCTGCTCTTTCTTCTCCACCTACAGCCCCCACAGCCTCCAAATCATCATCATCATCATCATCATCATCATCATCATCATCATCCCCCTCTCTCACACTCTGACTGCTACCTCTAGGCGAATGACTCCCCTTGACTTTTGACTTCACGCCAGGATCACTCATACGCCTCTGATTTCCTCCTCTGCTCCCTCCAGCAGCCCCCTTACTTTTCCTGCCTGCTCAGATACACATAACCCGACTGTTTCAGCCCTACATTGCAATAAATCCTCAGCTGTTTTCAACAGGGCTCTCACCCATTGATCAATATATTGAAATTAATCAGGATATTTATCCTGATTCACTACAATCACTCCCCACAACTTATCCACTGTTTCTTCCCTTAACCATCCCTGAGGGGGGGGGGGTCAACCCATCTCCCTTTGTGGCCACACATGTTTATATAAGAATTTTAATTGATCCTTTGATCCTTTCAGATAGGAAGGGTTGCTAAAATACTTGTCAAAACCTTTTAACATGCATGCCAACGGAGTATTTGGCACGCTCTGAACCCCACCCATTCTATCACACTGCCGTCGACTCATAGCCCCGGAAACTCACGGCCACTAACGAGAAATGCGACGGCTTAATCACCCACACAACCTGACATGGACTTCATTAGGGTAGCCACCCCGAGTCCGAGGGAGTGATCAGATCCCTCCGTCTGTCTTCAAATGAGGCAGGTACAATTCTTTTACAATATACTCACTTAAAACGCTCCTACTCCGTAGATTCCTGGCCAGGAATTTGTTCAGACCACCTTTCCTGCACCGCAGGGTTCTTGGACTCGATCAGAGCACCGTCGGGCCCATAGGGGTATCACTGTTGTCTCCCGGAGACGTATCTCCGCAGCGCCTGGAGAATGTTCAGGAGCGACCTCCCGATGGTCCCGAGGGGTCGAAACGGTCCTCAGCGAAATATCGCCTTGCACCTAGTCCCGGCGGAGTCGTCAGCTGTTATAGGAAAAACAGGCTAGGCCAAGCTCTTCAATGCAGGAAAGAGTTTATTGCGCAAGGTTCAAACAGTCCAAAAGGTCTGAACGTTGATGGCTTCTTCTGGCCATGTATTTATACAGTTTAAAGGCAAAATTATTACAGAGAGTGATGCGTTTCACACGTAGAAGCTGCCCTTTCATCTATCTCTGGGAAAGGAAATAACAATCTTCTTCTCACATACTCAGGTTCTCTGCTCTGGCGCTCAAGACATAACAAAAGGAGATAAGAGGCTAGGAGACGCCTCAAGGTCAATAAGGAAGCAGCACCCCTTATCCAGGGATATGCATGACATTTGGGATGCAATAAACATTAAACAACAGGATGTATCTGTTTAGGGTCAGTTTGCCCTTTTACAATTCTGTACCTATGTCAAATACCGTTTGTCATCTCAGCACCTTGGCACGGAAGAGGCACTTCTGTCTTGACCAAAGATTTGGATTTCTAATATTTGAGTTTTATCCCAATATCGAATCTTAGCCTGGCTCAAAATAGTTAGCTGCTTAGTTGGTTTTGTTTTAAATTATTTTTCAGCTAGGGAAGAGAATGAGATGCTTATGACATGTTTCTACCTCAGCTCCCCCAATCCCTAACTTCCACTATGCCCAAGCATCTGCTGAAGAGGTGGGGCGATGTGTATGATGACATAAGCCCTCTGATTTACCAAGTAACGACTACTGGAATGCAAGTACAAAAGCCTAGGACTGTATTGTCACAATACCTGATTTGATATTTTCCTCATCTTGATTACTATGCACTTTGACTTGCTAAATTGGAAACATCACATCTTTGGTATAAATTCTAGGAGATCAAGTCTGTTGAGTTAGCATTACAAATATATATATTAAGTACGATATATTATTTACATAGAAATTTAGAGATCAGTACATAATGGTTACTTTTACACAAGATAACAGGTATTCTACCCATAATTTATTGTAAATTATGTGTGCTATTCATTTGCTACTTCACATCTTGGTCCTTGACCATAATAGACATTAGGAAAGTTTGGTTTTCTGAAAACACATAGGGGAATTTGACTTCCTGTGTTGTGATGGCTGCATTTTAGCAACTTTTCAAAGGTGAAGATAATATCACTTTTGTGACTAACTTTTAACTGAATGAAACAATGCATCATGCAGCAAAACATGTCAAATAAGATAACTAAAATGGGGTAACTTACAGAATGCATCCAAAATCTGGAACTCATGATTCCTGTAAAATTGAAATTTGGGAAACTTTATAAAACATTTTATGACATAATACAAAAGGTCATAAAACATTTTTTGTGGTCAACTCCTCACGTGTGATGGTTCTACACAGTTCAACATGGGCTATTTTCAAGGCAAAGATCTCTCTGAATATCTGCCTGAATTTTTGAGAATTTTTCCAATGAACGCAATACATTAGAGCTCTATCATTGTTGAAGGCATTGAGGAATCTGGTAAGGAAATATCTATGAAAGGATGATAGCAGATCATGGGTTCTTACAAAATTCTGATATACTGTGCCTACTATTGTTGCTGACTATTCAGCTCTTCACTAAAAAAAACAAACCTCTCCATTACTGATGTGATTACTGCTACTTTAATATAGTCATATCTTGATTTACTTCTAAAAGCTTAGAAGGCACAGCTAATCTTCCTTTTTTTTTTCCATAATAATTTTGCAAAGTGTGTTAGCTCACAATTGTTCTGCAGGAACAATTATCCTCCAGTTATCATCTGATGAGCTTTACGGCCTGAGGGAAATTGAACTATGGATTCCCACATATAGTAATCTAATTGTTATATCATGCTATCTGTTCATGTCCACACACATAACCAGCATTACTCTCTTCATCATACTCAAAGCATTTGATAGCTCAGGATGCCAGTTCAAGAAACAATAACTACATATTTCTATCACTTATGGGAAGGATTCCAATAATAAAGATGAACATATTACCAAGATTACTATTTCTATTCCAGACAGTACCGATAAAAATTGAAAAGATTTACTTTCAACATCTTAATAAGATAACAAGGAAATTTATATGGCAAGGGAAAAAAGCAATAAGAAGCATAAAAATGCTCCAGAATATGAGACTACGCGGAGGATTTGGACTCCCGAATTGGGAACTATATTACCAGGCAGCAGCATTGACTTGGATGAAGGAATGGGTTGAATTAAGAAATATAAGACTATTAACACTGGAAGGTCATCATTTACAACTGGGATGGCATGCATTCTTATGGTATGGTAGAAATAAGATACATACGTACTTTCAAAGACATTATATAAGGAATGCACTGTTATTGGTATGGGAAAAGGTTAGAGGTAAATATTATGTGAAAATACCAATATGGTTATCCACAGTGGAAGCTTTAATACACCCAAATGTTTTTAATTTTGAAAATATTGTTAGATACAAGGATTTATCAACAGATAAGGGGTAATTGAAAAGGAAACGAGAATTGGAAGAACAGGGGATTGAGTTGGATCGGTATATGTATATGCAAATACAAACAATATTAAAAAGATGCTAAATTATATGGTTTTTACTCCTGTGAGGATACTCACAGGAACAGAGGATAAATTAATTTAAAAATTCTACAATTTCTTACTTGGCATTGAATTGGAGGAGCAGCAAGTAAAGGAAACAATGATAGGCTGGGCAAAGAATTTTGGATATTCAATTGATTTAGATAAATGGCAACAGTTATGGGAAAGGAATTATAAGCTAACAATGTCCATTGCAGGAAAATCAATACAACATGTTTTACAGATGGCATATGCCTCCTGAGAAACTGGCAAAAATATTTAAAGATAAATCAGCTAAATGTTGGAAATGTCACCAGTTACCAGGTTCATATTATCATAAAACTATTGGAATAAAATTAAGATATGGCTGGAAGAAATGATACAACAACAACAACAACGTATTGATTTAAAACTAGAGCTGTTCCTACTGGGTAGCCTCCCAGAGAAAATTAGTAAAGAAAATATCTATTTGATTATACATGTAATAACAGCTGCAAGGATTGTTTATGCATAAAATTGGAAAGCAGAGAAATACCTTTGGAAGGAGAAGTAATTAAAAAAAATTAGATTGTGCAGAAATAAATAGATTAACTTTGATGATTAAAGAAAGAGAGGATTCAGAATACTTTAAGATATGAAATCAATTTTACCATTGGTTAGAAAAGAGATACAAATAAGTAAATTAATAGTTATGTGTAAAAATGCTCCAATTAGAATATTGTGTTAGTGAAGAATTGTTGTAATGGACTTGGCGAGAATGAAGATAGAAGAAACAACAAAAAGAAGAAGTTTTGGAAACAGCACCAAGATGTCACATGGAAGGAATGACTGATCTATTAAATGTTTATCTAAAAAATAAAAAACTTTATTTAAAAAACCAACTACATATTTCTACTTATATATGACACTTATCCATCAGTGTATTAAACTTCAATGATGTATTGCCTTTAATAAGAATCTAGCAAATCAGAATTTAATTCAACAAACCACTGTTAAGCAAACCTGGGAGGATATGTGAATCAGGCTACTAATATGCAAAAATAAATTTTAGTTTATTTAGTTTAGTTTATTAGTTTAATGTGGGAGAAAAAGCTAGTCTTCCTAATATCACCATTTCTGTTCTGCAGTCTCCTTGAGCTTCTGCCAATCTAAATTAGAGATAATCAGCAATTAAAGTGATCATGATCTACGGTTATGAAATTTAGGATAATCTTTTTACATCATGTTTAATAGTATGATTAAACTAGTAAAATAATTGAGAATACATGAAAAGATACTAGGCAATAAGGACCAGCCTATTATGCATCAAGGTGAAATTTTGTCAGTATCGAAATGTCTGGAATACTTCTTTGCTTATATTTAGGGAGCCTTTGTCTCTCATTGTCTTGCCACTTTTGCCTTTTGCCTAGTTGTTTCTGTTTGGGCACATCTGGCAAATCTTGTCTCTCTGACCTTTAACAAAAGTAAATTCCTTCACTGTTATCTTCGTCTCCTTAGGGCAGGTACAGTTAATGTGAGCTTTTTGTAATGGGATTATGCATTAAAGAATGGAGATAAGAACACTGAATTTCCACAAGCATCTTGTTTTCCCTTTCCATCCTAACTCTTCCCTAGATGCATTTATTCATTAAATTTGTATCCCACCTATATTACTTTATAAGTAATACAAGGTGACGAATATAGGTAATATTCCTTCCTCATCCTCTTTCCCCAATTGGCCTGAGTAAGAGTAAATGGCCTAAAGTCACCCAGCTGATTTCATGCCTAGAACTCACAAGCTGCCTGGTTTCTAGGCTAGCACTTTAACCACTACACCATGAAAAGGGTCCAAGAAAATGGCAATTATTCCCCTTCCAATGACATCACTAAATAGCTTCTTATAGTCCCTGGAAGGCTAGGCAGTTCCAGTTCTTAACAACTTCAGCATTGCCTCCCTGATCTTAAGCATATGAAACTAGTTTTCAAGTTTTAGGCAAAGAGTTGATCTGATTGGCTGGACTTTGCAAGCTTAGATATTTTGAATTGTAACCTGGTAGCTTATTTATTTACCTTTTAATAACCAGTTTTAATTTGATGGCATGATGCTAGTAATATGTCTTAACTATTAAATTCTGGCTTTCACACATTGACATTCTGACTTGGTTTGGTTTGTCTCAATCTGTTGTGCAAAATAGATGAACCCACTATATTTTACTAAGTGCATATCCTGTAAAAGTCTGCATCAAAAAATAGGGAGAATGCTGCTTTGTTAAAACATTGTTTTTGCAATGTACTAAAATTGTTTACACATACACACATATTTACTATATGTATTATTCAATTGAAATATGGTTTATGGTTTAATGTTGTTAGACTTCCATATTATTTTAACCTACTTATCTATTACATGACAAATGATAATTGGACAATCAAAACGAATTAATGTTCTTTCTATTTCTAATTTATGGTCCTTCGGGAGTAGGGCGGTATAGAAATGTGATTAATAAATAAATAATAAATAAATTATTCAGTGAATTAAAGTTCTGATATTATTTACATAGATTATGTATGAATAGTTGTAACAAAATATGGTAATTATTGAAACTGTTCAGAGGTGGGATTCACTTACCTTCCCTACCGGTTACAAATGGGAGTGCACGTGCGTGTGTTTTGCTTGTTTGTGCCACCTCTGCGCATGCACATAGCCTTCGCGTGCGCAATAGTCGCACATTACGTCTGAATGGATGGGCGGAGTCTCCCGCAGCCAATCAAGTTTTAAATTGAGTTACTACTGGAGGAATATAGATTGGCTCAAACTACAATATCACAGTATATTAAATTAAAATAGTTCTGTTTGCAATTTGATTCACATACATTAACATTTAAAATTAATGAATTGTTGTGAATAATGATTTTACAATACTTTTAATAAATAGAATACTGCTTTTGAAGAGTGTCACTAGATGCAGTCATTCTGGAATGGGGCCTTGGAATATTTCATATTAATAAATGGGTTAAGAGTTGAAAAACATGGAATCTGTTTATGATATTATGATGATTAATTCAAAAGTACTTTTACACATTTATTAAACACCTTAGAAGATTTTTAAAAAGAACTATCAATATTACACAGGCGGCAATGGTTGGTTGCTGCCAGTTCGCACCGGATCAGGCGAACAGTAGCGGCAGCAGCAGTAGGCTCTGCCCACCTGCCTGGACACTTCTGGCGCAGAAGCTTCTGCGCATGTGTAGAAGTGCCCTGCGCACACATGAGCGCGTGCACAGCAAACCGGTAGCAATGGGATTTGGATCCCATTGCGGTATAGAATAGGCAAGGGGACACCTATTCATACAATATGTATATATCCTGCTATTGCTCCATTCTGGTTTAATATCTGTAAATTTGACATATTCTATATTCAAGATATCATAAATTTGACAAATTATTACAAATGAATGAAGTGGGAATGGAATTCTTACGTTTGTGTGCGGAAAAGCGATGGAGGCAGAAATTATTAGTTTCTGGCTGAATGTGGTTTGAAAATGAAAAACTACCAAGAAAGAAGTAGGTTGAGATAGTTTGGCCATACAGGGAGAAAAAAACCAATCCAATTTCAAAACAAATGTGTGAAAAGAGTGGAAGGAGAGGGAACTATGAAGCAATGTATGAATATGTTGGATGCAAAAGAGTTATGGAAAATGAACAATGTTGA